GATGTTATTTATAATTGATAAAAACATAAACTTTGATGGAGTTAGTGGTCAGTTGGGTCAAGGTCACCAGTGCTAAAAATAGATTTTTACACATTTGTTCATACAGCCTTTATTAAGTGACAGATATATTTTATATTTGGTAGGAAGATAACTTGCATGGTATTCATCCTTTTGATTGGGGTAGGTATCAGTGGGCCAAGGTCACTTGTGCTAAAAATATATTTTTACACTTTTGCCCATACAGCTTTTATTTATTGACAGATGTATTTCATATTTGGTAGGAAGATAACTTGCATGGTATTCTTCCTTTTGATGGAGTAAGGGGTCAGTTGGGTCAAGGTCACCAGTGCTAAAAATAGATTTTTACACTTTTACCCATACAGCCTTTATTTATTGACAGATGTATTTCATATTTGGTAGGAAGATAACTTAATGGTATTCTTCTTTTGGATAGAGTTAGGGGTCAGTTTGGTTAAGGTCACCAGTGCTAAAAATAGATTTTTACACTTTTGCCCATACAGCCTTTATTTATTGACAGATGTTTTTCATATTTGGTAGGAAGATAACTTACATGGTATTCTTCTTTTGGATAGAGTTAGGGGTCAGTTTGGTTAAGGTCTCCAGTGCTCAAAATAGATTTTTACACTTTTGCCCATACAGCCTTTATTTAATGACAGATGTATTTCATATTTGGTAGGAAGATAACTTGCATGAAGTTGAATATTTTTCAACTTCACAAGTCAGAGCAATGACTTGGCAACTTATATTTTTCACAATTACAAAATGCCATGACTTTGTCAAGCTATATAACTTGTGTTTACAATTTTTTGGCAATTTTTCTGTCCATAACTGAGTGAATGGGTAAACATTTTTTGAAGTATTGCTACTGACAAGAATCTGAGCCGGGGCATTTGTGTTTAACAAACACGTTCTTGTTTTTTTATGTTTCCTCCACATAAACACTTCCAGTTATCTGGCAGTGACTTACAAACACAATTTGCCTTCACAACCACAAAAAAATATAACCTTATTTGGCCAAAATAAAACTGGTGCTATGGAAATTTTTATGCCCCCACAGAGTGGGAGCATATAGCGTTGCACTTGTCCGTCCGAGTGTCTGTCCGGCCGGCCGTCTGTCCGTACGTCCCGAAATCTTGTGAACGCAACTCCTCTTAAACCGGATGGCAGATTTTGCTTAAACTTCCAGGGATGAACAACCTTAATGTGTAGATGGTAGTAAAAGAAGGAATTTTTGCTGCGACCAAATTTAACAGAATTATGGCCCTTTGTTGATTTTTTTCACTATATACAATGTAGAAATTTTGTGAACGCAACTCCTCTTAAACCATATGGCAGATTTTGCTTAAACTTCCAGGGATGAACAACCTTAATGTGTAGATGGTAGTAAAGTAAGGAATTTTTGCTGCGACCAAATTTAACAGAATTATGGCCCTTTGTTGATTTTTTCACTATATACTATGTAGAAATTTTGTGAACGCAACTCCTCTTAAACCGGATGGCAGACTTTGCTTAAACTTCCAGGGATGAACAACCCTAATATGTAGATGGTAGTAAAGGAAGGAATTTTTGCTGCGACCAAATTTAATTGAATTATGGCCCTTTGTTGATTTTTTTCACTATATACTATGTAGAAATTTTGTGAACGCAACTCCTCTTAAACCGGATGGCAGATTTTGCTTAAACTTCCAGGGATGAACAACCTTAATGTGTAGATGGTAGTAAAGGAAGGAATTTTTGCTGCGACCAAATTTAACAGAATTATGGCCCTTTGTTGATTTTTAGTTTTCAACTTGTGGCACATGTAGTCCAAAAATATTTGACCTAGAGTTATAAGATTGACAGAACAGTGGCATGTGGGGGCATCCGTGTCCTATGGACACATTTCTAGTTTTAAAATATATCCTTTTTGTATTTTCTGATCGCAAGATCATTAAATACATAGCTAACATCCAAGGTGTAACACAAAATTTCCTCACAGACCTAACAACGCAAAGTAGTTCTCACTCAAAACTGCTTAAAAACCAGCAATTTAAAAGAAAGAATAATTTTTAATGTAGGCATTGAACGAATTACAGTGCATTAAAATTTTACATTAGTCAATAGAAATATGAGGTAATAATCACAAATTTCGCGGATGAATATCATTTTTACCCAATGAAAAATGTTCGACTATTTCCGTAAAGCTTAATCAATGAAAATGCTATTTTTAGCTATGCCGATTACCGAATACTCCAGAGCGTAGTACACAAATAAACCTGACTGTCGAGTAATGGAATATATACATGTCGGACTGTTTTGGCGAGAAGATTTTCGCTAAATTATTTTCATCAGTGTTTAACAACAGGTTTATCGTGAACAAAATACCTCGAAATTAATAAGGATTACAAACACGAAATGAAAATTCTCAATTCTAGAATTACAATATATTTGTTTTTATTCACGCTACATACGTAAATACTTCACTGTGGTGCAGAGGTAGCGCGCTCGTTTAGGGTGTGAGAGGCCTGAGGTTAAAATCCTTGTCAAGGCAACATTTTTTTTTTGAAGTGTCTTTTTTAAGGAAGTTGCCACGATATGCAAGGATAAAGTGTGGCTGTAATAAAAAATGCAAAATGATTTTTGATGCAACTCTAAGCATGCAAAATTCCATATGTATCAATCACAAACTGTTAAACGCAGTCGCTGCGTAAGATGAATAATAGTATATAAAAATAAACTTATACAGGAAAGATCAGAAAATACCACAGAGCATGCAGCCCTTTGATTACACTTTTGCTTTTCACCTAGGCATTTGCCATATGGTGACCTAAACCAATACTTACATGTTGTGTATATACTCTTTGTGACCTTTCAGTTGCTAATTAGATCATTGCAACATCTGTCTTAACATTGTCATAGTTGTTCTATACATGTATTGGCAGTGAAATTGATTATATTTAAATTATTTATAGATGATTATGGTACTTGACTTGTGTAATAGATGAAAATCTTTCAACATAAAGCAGTAAACAATAATATACAGATCCCACTCACTTTAGATGGACTCTGCCTTGGGGCTACAAAAGTTTAAGCTTACAATTATTTTACTAAATACAACCACTCAATTTAATATTTTGTCCTCTAATTTTTGAAATATTCTAATGTTTTTTTTTGTTTGTTTGTTTTTTCTCTTTATATATTTTGCTGTGAGTCTTGTAGATTTGGTGCTAATTAAACAGAATATAAATCCTTTATCCCTCTTTCAGGCCCTATACCAGATAAGATGCTCATTGTATGACATTGTTTTAATAAGATTGGTTAAAACGTTTAATGTTTGCTAATCTTTCTCAAGTCACCGACCTTAATTGTCAATTAAGGTCCTTGCTCAGGCCTTTCTATAGTTTTTGAAATACTATTGGGTAATTGAAGCTCAAGTGTTATGTTAATTGTATCATAATTAATATTATATACTGTATATAATATTAATTATGATACAATTAACATAACACTTGAGCTTCAATTACCCAATAGTATTTCAAAAACTATAATACAGTATTATGTTTGTTAAGCTATAAATTTTCAGTTAGTCAACTGAATCTATAATATGAATGACTGGCCAAGTCAGAACATTCCTGTTACTACTTTTAGGACTTAATTAGGCCATTTCCCCCCTCCCTTAAATTTGACATTAACTTCCCCTTATTCATACAGTCCTGTAATCATTGAGTTATAAATGAATATAAAAAGTACAGGAAGAAAAAGAATTATGATAATAAAATAATTAGTATTTGATAAAAAAATAACTACATGTATTTTAGTAACCACACTATATAATATAATGATATACAGAATTTCCCAATCACACAAAATTCATAAATTTCAATGTAAAAATTTTAATTTATCACTTACGGCTTCGAGCTATTTCACATAAAATTTTGTCAGGCAAGTGCTGAAAGGTCAGTGACACCATGGGCAAAATTTCGTTCGAAAGAACAAATTAATTTTACATTTTTAAAGTTAACCATTTTAAGAATTACATATCTTTAACAAAACAAGAAGTTTAAGACAAACGTTTCATGATTCTCAAACTTTTCTTACACATGACAAAATTAAAATTGAGGCGTGTCATGACAAAACCAACAAAGTGCGTTTGCGACCAACATGGTGTTGTCATGGCGTGGCTAAAAAAGTGTTTTAAATGGATATACAGTCAGACTTGTCCTTATAGGTCAGTCTTCACAAATGGAAATATCTCTTTTTAAAGGTGGTCTCTTAAAGTTATTATAGGCAAAATATACATTTGTATACTTATGTATTAGAAAATTTCAAAAACTGGAACAGCCTTTTGTTTATTGGTAGAGAGTTTATTCTCAAAGTGTCATATGTATTATACAAGAAAACAGATAAAATGTGATTCCTTTTAGAATATTTATTTATAGCATATAACATATTAAGCATCTTTTTGTGTATGCACCACCTACTATTTTTTATAAATTAACTAACATCATTTATAGTTTGAATACAATACTCTTCATCCAATAATCTTTATACAGTGTATAAGTTTAAATTTTACATCAAAAAGTAAAGAAATTTGAAATTTTAAAAATTTTTCAGGATCTCTGGAAAAATTGACTGTATTTTTTTGGGTAAAGTATCCCCCTTTACACTTTAATGATAAATTTGGTTTTTTTCATCATTAATTCCTTTTTTGTGAAATTTTAAAATTTCATGTGACCCAAAAGAAAACAAAATAAAAGAGTAAATTTAATGTTTTATTTTTTTTTAAATTTTTTTGTTTTTTATATTTAAATTTTGGCTGTTTTTTATCTTTTTTAGGGGCCGGTTTTAAACTTTTTGTATCTTTAAAACTGACAGAAATTCCCAAAACTGACAATTTGGGGTTTATTTTGGTTGGTACCAATTTTTACCATTTTGGTATAGGGGGAGTTTGGGGGTTTCCCCTTTACCCCTTAAATTTTGGGGGGTTTTGACTACTGCAGATTCTAAGCTCTCCAGAACGTCCGAAATTATACTACAAAAGTTTAGGGTCACCATTTGTACAAGCTATCCTGGAGAAATGTCCGATACTTACTCAAGTGTGAGTGTTTTAATTATTCATATCAATTTTGGTACAAAGGCAATACTGAATTTATAGGCTGATTAAATGTTGCCTGAAGATTTTAACATCAGCATTTGATACTTTGTCAGTATGCGAAAACTGCCCAGTCTAGTAAAATTTTGTTCGGGCTAGCATAAAATGTAAGGAGCGTAGTCCGACAGTCTCACAATGTTTGAGATGCGGAAAAAAAATACATACCCAATGACTGAGGGAAATATTGATTTTTTTCAAGGTATTGGCACAAAAAATTCTGAAATAACTTATATATAGAATCATTTATGCCAGTTGTATTTATAATGACCAAGAGGGGATATGTATATTGATTTTTTTCTGCGTAAGCTATGACACCAGAGGAGTAAGCTAAATGAAATCATTTGACCCTTGAGTTTCACTCTACTGTACATTCTGTCTAAGAATATCAGAAATAAATGTTAATCAAGTGATATCACTTTGCATTATTTTCTCCAGATTAAAGAAAATTTGACAAACCTTTGCACAACTTTTGTTAGAATTTTCGGGCTAGTTAAAATTGGTTTGGCTATATGATATTTTGATGGACAAAGCCTGGAAGTCTTTTACCATAAAAAGTTTTTCGTGCAGACTGCTTTGTTATTTTTAACTTGTAATGTAGCAATAATCAAATAAAGAAAAAATAAAGATGCTATATACATGTATATACATGTGTATATGTACAGATGTTACTTCAATTAACTATTGATTGCACATATGTAACTGTAAACTACATGTATACAATGTATAATGCTTCATTATTATTTCTTTGCCTTTAAATAGCTTTACATATTAATTCAACATTATTTATAACAGTAAAGTGTTGAAGTGAATCAAGACATCAGACACATTATTTAAACTGTCATGAAATTTTATGTTTGACATAATACATGTTCACCTGTCATATTTCTGTCTGGTAATTTATTAAATAAGTTTGAACTTTCTCCAAGTGCTTCTTATGTATGATATGCTACAGGCATGATTTAATGATGTCATTACATATATTTCATATTTCAACAGTGATACGATATGTATCATAAACATACTTTCTGTTATTACAATATAAAAGTATATAATACTTTTATATCATTTATTTCATTTTAATGATTTGATATCTGTCAAAGGTGCTGTTTGCTAGATAAGGAATTGGTTTCATATTTAAAATCTACGATAATTTTGCACTGAAGATTTATTATTAACTTTTGTTTTGTTAAACACATGCATTGGGTAATGATATGAAATTTGTAAATTAATCTGTGAAAATGTATCTATATTCTGAATTACAAAAAAAGAAAAACATAAAAAATGAAAGTCCTTTCATGTGCAGTAGACTGAAATGCATAATATTTCTTGAAAAGGCATTCATATTGAGGTTGTTTTACAAATAATGCAAATTTTGATTAAAAACATGGCATGCATGGAATGTATTTATTATTTGTCATCAGTCACTTAGTTTTGGCAAGTGCTCATAAATATATTTTTACCTTCTTTGAATAGATTTAAACCTACAATTTTATGGGGTAAAAGTGGACATTTCCAGACAATTGTACATGTGAAGATGGGGCGAACAAAACCAAAGTGGCCTGATGGAAAAAGATTTCATATTCTGATGGAAGATGGCGCCACTATGAGCTATGACCTCTTTGACCCTCATCAGGAAGGACATAGAGGTTAACTTTAAAATGTTGTAAAAGTCATTTATAGAAAATTGAGAGTGGATAAATATATATAAATTTTTTGTCTGACCTTGACTTTAACAACTGAAATGCCTATTATATTCTTTCAAGTACATGAAGTCATTAAAGTTTTATCACATAAAAAAATGAAACAGAAGTGATATAAGAGAATTTTTTTTAACATTTTAAAGGAATTCCATTGTAAATCTGTTGACCAGAACTGCCTTGAAGATATAAAGTTTCTAAGAGATATTAGTAGTCTAGATGTACTTATTTTACAAATTAAAAATTTATATTTAATTCATCTCAATCAAGCTTGTGCTTAATAATTTGTTTATGTCCTTTATTACAGCTAAGTTTACCCTAGCCTTGTGTCCTGGCATTGCTAACAGTAGTGAGTGTATCTATCTGCGTACATTTGCCTCGTACGCTCAAACTCGTGGCTTCAGGGTGGCAATCTTGAACCATCTGGGTGCCCTCAAGAGTGAAAAATTGACATCACCTAGAGTATTTACCTATGGTATGTTGTAACAGATGTAATTTTATCTTTGATCAAGAATTTTGTATTTGGTTTATGTTTTTCGCTACACTGAGTAAATTATAGAATATACATATAGCTGAATGATTCACATGAAACTGACCGATTTTATTGTAGTTTATGTTCATAGTTCAATGAGAAATGATCACAAGGGAGAAGTTAGACAATACTTAGTAATATCATGATAAATCTTACTTCCTGTTATGAAGTACAAAGTTACTACAATTTTTATTACAAAACAAGCTCAAAGGTTCATGGGGGAATTGGCTGTATACATGTAACTAACTTAAAGGCACATTACGCCTCACAAACAAATAAATTTTAACTTACATTTGTATTTAGAAAAGGCAAACATCTGACAATTTTATAATGTTTAAATGATGTTTTAGAGAATGTTAGATGCTTGTTACAGGAAGAAGGTAGCAATAAATGTGTAATAACATGTATAAATGTAATAAAATGTAAACAAAGTAGTATTGTGACTTCTGTACAAAGTACTGAATTAGTATTCACTATAACTGTACTTAACTTATGAAAAAGATGGTTTGGAAAATTGGCTGTAGTGTTACTTTTTAGATACTGTAAAAGTCCACCAAAATTCAAAGCTATCGAGAAATAAACATAACAGAATTTCTTAAGCATAATGGGCCTTTAATAAAAAGAACTTTGACAAGAACTATTTTAATTCCAAAATAATCTTTTGAATTGTGAACATAAGACTCATGGTAGATCATATAAACTTCACTTTATTATAATGTTAAAGCAGTCATAAAAAATAGTAAGTCAATATTAAAAATAATGGATTTCTGTCGCTAAACAATGTCAAATATTGAATGTAAAAGTAACATATGCTGATATGATAATTTCAAAGCCCTGTATCATCGCCCTCATTTCTAAAGCCTTGCATAAATTTGTTACCATAGTAACCAGATGTTTATCTTGTGTTACAGGAGGTACAGGGGAATATAGTAGAATGGTTGATCATTTATTGGAGCAGTACCCAGACACAAAAATTCTAGCAGTGGGGTTCAGCATGGGAGGAAATATTGTCACTAATTACCTCGGAGAAATTCTAGAAAACCAGAAGAAAGTCTTGTGTGGAGTGTCAGTGTGCCAGGGTTATGAAATCAATGAGTATGTTACTTTTCATTGATCTCACTATGCTGTTGTATAATTTATTTGATGCCTTGTATTCCCAAATACATTTATATGTCAATAGATAGTTCCTGATTTTTACAATGTTTACCTCCCTTGCCAAAAAAGGCAGCCATTTTGGATGTCAATATCCTATGTAATTTAATTGACAGAATATAAAAATATCAATACAAACAGCTGATTTAGATAAATTGTCAAATTCTTTTATACCTATGAAGGAAAATATCAAAACACTAATATGTGAAAGATTTTTATCACTTTTCATGAAGATGATGAAATTGTTTGAGATTTTTATCTAATATTAAGAATGTTATATATTGTGAATGACCCTAAAAAATGGCAGCCAGGGGAGGTAATGTGCTAAGTGAAAAGTATCTATATTGCAACAGTTGTAAGGTACATTGTATTTAATAATAATCTTGTGTTTGATGTAAATTTGATGGCTCTTAGAATGTCATGTTATGTCAACAAAAGTTGGACCTGTTTTGTTATGTTCCTAGTTAAAGTAGCATGAGAAGTTAAAAAGCAGGGAAACTCTTATTGTGTCATGTTTTCAATACAATATGGATCCTTAAAATTACAAAATTTTTGAATATTTATTGGTTAAACCAGCATTTATATTATTTAGAAATAGATATAGTATTTTTGTTCTTGATCCTTCATTTAAAAAGATATAGTATATTGTTTTTGAAAAGAAAATGGTTGTTAAAGGAATTTTATCTGTTTTTCTCAGAGCTAAAGACTTGTTTATGCAGTGGGCAAACCTACGACGTCTATACACCTACTTCATGACCCTAAATCAGCGACGTCTTCTATCACGTCACAGGGAGTTCTTGTTCAGTGAGAAGGCTCAGCAAAAATGTGGGGCATTTAAAGAGAAAGAAGTGTTCTGCGCCACCTCTTTAATTGATGTTGATGAAAACTACAGCAGGTGTGTAGTGTTGACTATTGAAGTGTGGCAATATTTTCATGTAACAGTAGTACTTCACTTACATATTTTCTAGATTAAGATTCTTTCATTTCTGGTAGTTTTATGGCTATAATCATTTAGCTGGTAGTTTGAAATGAGTAATTTTATTGTCTTCTATACAAGTTCTTTAGTTATAATACTTTTTAGACAATTATGTTTGACACAATAGGATAATCCAGAACTAGGCAAATGTGGGTTTTTCCTATCTTATCCCAGCGGTACAAACATTTATAGTTATAACTTGGTAAATATAATGATAATAATGAAAATAACCTCATAGACGATGAGTCTATTGTAACCAGTAGTGCAACGTGAAGGTATAAGGGTAAATGTTTGTTTGTACCCTAATATTAAACAAATTCCGAGTTCAGGATAGCTTCTAAATATTATTGTGTCATTCATACTGGACTACTGAGTAAATTGATTTTTTGCTTGTCTGTTTCGAAGAAAAAGCCAGGCTATTTTGATCGCTGTTGTTGTTGTGCAAAAACTTTAATGTAGCAATATATGTAAACAGTTTTAAAGGTATCAATATGAAAACCTTGGACTACTTGCTTATCATGACAAGGGGCAGTAGTAAGACAAGGGGCATAATTCTGAAAGCTATATTTTGTGGAGTTAGCCCCTTTTTAATTTTTATCTATCCAGCTTGCTTACAAGAGATTGGTTGTTATAAAGGGCATGTCAGCTCATGATGACTATATTGTACAGAGGGGCATTTGAGATCTTCCATAACTATTGCAACTTGAAAGTTACCAAATAATCTTTACAATGCCTGTTTTACTGAAAACCAAACATAAGAATGTCATTTTATACTTTTACAAAATGGCAATTAAACATAAACAAGAGCACCTATAGTGTCACACATCATTTTGTATTTTTTGGTTTCAACAACTTGCATGTTTTATATTTTAGAATTAGAGCTGGATTTAAAAGTGCCTTTGAATATTATAAAAGACACAGCTCAGCATATGTAATGAAAAATGTAAGTACTTGTATGAGGTAATATTATTAGAATATATTTCAAATTAAAACAATATACATGTACATGTTTCATTAATATTGTCTCATACTCATAGAAATTCTGAACTTTTATAAGATAAAAAAATATCTAAGTATGTAATGTGTTATACTTTTTTCATAGCTCACGGTTCTAGACAGATATAACAGAAATTACATAATACGAGGGTTGTCCCAAAATATCGTAGACAAAGTCTGTTACTTAATCAATTATAATACAATGGAGTAGTCCAGCTAGGGAAAAGTCAATACACCTTCTATGTGTGTCTATGCGAAATAAAATTAAAAAACCTCCTAAGTTGACCAAGTTATCAAAATTTAAACAATGCTACCTGTACATACCCGTCCCACGCCGTCACAAACGTCATGACGTTATAACATTTTTTAAAATGTTTTTCAAAGTATTCTCTGTGTTTCTCGGTGCACTTTCAGTGTCGGGCGACCCATTTATCATAAACGTTTTCAAAATAGTCCTACTTCAATGTACTCAACAGTCGTAGAGTTTTCTGGCGGAGTTCGCTGAAGTTTTCGAACCTGTGACCTCGTAATTGTGATTTCAAATAAGGAAATACTGCGAACTGCAGCAAGTCTAAGGGTGTACGGAAGTCTCTGAAAACCTATCACATCAAGTTCAATCTGTATCTCCTGAGATCTATGGCAAGGTTCATTATCTTGATAAAATATAATGTTCTCCATGTTGTCAATTAATACTGGACGCTTCTTCAACTGAACAGTGTTCAATGACATCGCGTTGCGCCGCATTTTCATCTGACGTCGCCATTTTGGGCATTTTCAAAATAGCACTGCTGTATTAGCACTGTATTATGCTACAATTTTTTTCAAAGTAACGTAACATAAACGTCTGTCGGTGATATGACGTCAAAATGAATGACATCATTCCACATGAGGCTATTTCTCATAATTATTATCATGCTAGAAGTTAAAGGCATGTTTTTAAGAAGCATGCTCTCAACTCTGATAAATATTTTATCGTGCTCCGGGTAAGTTGTACTGTTAAAGTTAAAACCGTGATAAAAAGTGTTACTTAATATATTGGCTATTGATTTTAAGTATGTAAATTTACAAATGACCAAGGAAGATGCCTGGTAAATTTTATTAAGTTTTGACGTCAGGTTGAAGAGAAAATAATGTAGTCTACGACATTTTGGGACAACCGTCGTACATGTGTAATAACCATTTATAGTTTGTTGTTCAACTGTCAATTCTACTAATTTTCTTCAAACATAAACATCTAAACATGTTGTGAACTATCAAAAACAGTTTAGTATCAGCTGTTTTGACAATTTTGTGATGGTATTTACACTGAGATAAATAATTTTGTAAAATTTTGTAATATTGTTAAACATTGAAGGCTTATTGTATTTAAGCTATTAATATAAATATTTGTTTTCTTTTTCAGATAAAAGTTCCCATGTTGTTAATGAATGCTGCAGATGATCCATTAGTTCCACCACCTTTATATAAACACCCAAAGCAGTTTGTTGGTAAGTGTTTGATTACTCTTTATGTTTAATCTTAAGAAAAATGACCGATAATATAGTCAGAAAGGTATTTAGACAGTGAAACAAATGTTAAATATATGATTTAAAGGAATGATCCTAGTCAGATTTTGAGTAGTATAATGGTGGTTAGGTAGGACACTCAAATATAAAACAAAAACAATACAATACAAATAACTTTATTGCAAATACAATGTAAAACATTTTCAGAATGTTTATAGCAAAATTAGAAAATCATACTTGTCCTTTTTGTTGAAGTTTTTTGTAAGCTTTGAGTTGAAAGTGACTCTTGTTATATTTCTTCTTTCAGAAAAGAATGAAAATTGCATCTTTATGACAACAAAACATGGCGGCCATCTTGGTTATTTTGAAGGTGGTTTGTTAGTACCAGAAAATGTAACGTGGTTAGACCGTGTTATTATCGAGTATGCTGATGCTGTAACCAGTCTGTATCTCCAAGGCAACCTTCCACAACAGACTGGTTCCCTGGTTTTAAGTCCGGAAACGGCAGAGAACGCAGAAACGACATTTGATAGTGGAATAGCTGATTTAAGTTGGGAAGGAAGAGCATTCTCAAGTGATGAGCCTGCTTCACCAGAAACAGAAGTGAAGGATTCTGGGAAGAAGGTAGCAGACGACAAGAAGAAAGAGTCATTGAAACGAGGAAGTTTGCTCAAACAAGCAAGCACGTATGTGCAATAAGGATGTCACTCGGTTTGGATATGTATAATATATTTTTTCCAGTTAATATAAGCTAGGCATTTTGACTAGTTAGAGAAAAAAGTTTCTTAATGTTTGCTTCTGCCATATTATTGCCACCTTAAGCTTCAGGTTCTTTAATTAATGTTGATTTAATTGTTATCTTTCATTCTTTCATATGCAACATCCACATTATAGAACTTACATGATATTATATACACTCATATTGATTAGATTTATATAGAATTTATTTACACTTGTCTTCTTTTATTATATTATGATATTCTTATTTCTGGGGTAAAATATATATTAAATCGTCATATTCACCATGTTGGGGGATAATAATTCAACAGGTTCAATTGCTGATTATTGATAGTAAAGTAACACATATAAAATGACTTGAATGGAACATTTGTTTCTCAAAGATCAGGATGCTACAAAATGAATGGGAAAATCAGTAGTAGCGTCTGCAACAATAAGTGTTACAGAGTCAAGTTTTCATCATCATCAAGTTACAAGTATTTTTCATAGTAATTCAAAAAATTTGTGTCTGTATGTTAAGATAAGGAGACTTCTTGCAAAAGTCATGCAAAAATTTTTTTAGATTGTTTATTTGTTTGTTTGTTGTCTTGGCTTTTTTTTTTCTTAAGGTAAAATAGAGGAGTAAAAAAAAGTTCCAAGAAGTGTGAATGAGATGATATGTGTTAAAATGTGTTGAATTTTTTGGGACCATAGCTTAATATTCTGGAAATTTTCTTTTACTTTTTGTGTTCAGTTTAATGGCTTAAAATTGTTTATTTTGTTACAATTTTATATTCTTTGTTTCAAAGGTTTTGTTTTGTGTTTGAAGGGACTATCTTAAGACATGACATGTTATTTTGCTCTCCTTGTTTATGTTTTTGTCTCATTTTCTATTTTTTCTTTTCAGTGATTTTTCATTTTGTTTATATATTAGCTGTGTACCCCATTATGGATCAAATGAAGTTGGTCCTTTCTTAAAAAAACAAACTGCCAGTTTTTTTAATGACACTATATATTTATAGTGTGGACCTATAGTGTGTGGAGTTTAAAACACAACACATCTACTGTGTGTAAAGTCAAAACGTGTTACTTTTATATTTACATAGAGACTGCAGCAAATATAAATATTTTATATTCCATGACTCTTGAGTAGTGTCTAAGATCATAGACTAGTCATTAGTGTAATCATTTATTGAAAAGTTACTTCTGTTTGATGTTTTTAATGACAGTATAGTTTTTGATAAGTAATTAACCATTATTTTATCGTACAGTTTGCTGAACCATTTTCTCATTCTTAATGTTCTTTGTTTTGCTGTTGTTGTTTTTATCATCGTAGCAATGCACACATGTGTCTGCATAAAATTCAAAGTAAACGCAAATGTAGTAATAATAATTTATAGCTCTTGCCAAGAAAAACTGTAACAGGAGCACTCTGTTTTTGCTTTAATAAGGGCATTTTATACAAATTACCTCTTAACAGGACTTTCGGTTCAGTGGGTAATGTACTATATTTTTGAACAGCTTTATATGACTTGATTTTCTTGTTCCTCTTCTGGCCTCTTTAGATTAATATTTCTTTTCCTCTTCTTGCCTCTTTGGGTTCATATAATAAATTGTAAATGTCTCTTATTTGAGAAATGGATGCTGCTGGCTTTATATAGGACTTAATGTTCTACTCGGGTATATCCTGTGGCTGATTGTGTTGGTCAGTCTTTAGAGTGAAACGTGGAAGGTCTGTAAACTGACCAACTCTGTGTTGATGTGGTGCTTCCTTAATCTAACTAAAAACAAGAATTTATTGTGTAATGAAAGTATGTTTCAGCTGTGATCATTAATTGCTTGAATTTATAAGTTGTGTTTGATAATGATATACATGTACCGTAAATGACTGAATAATGGCATAGTGATGGAATTTATGTTTGCGTTTGTAAGCCACTGTTTTTCTACTGGAATTGATTATATTATTATTTAATGGGCACAAAGGTTAATTGTTCCATTTGCTGATTATATACTACCTTAACTGATAGGTGTCTTGCATTTTGTGATATAAGTAGAGTTATGATAATGTTTGTATACATACTTTATAAGAGGGCCAGGCATAACATGGGGTAAAAAAATGAAATAAGTTGTTTTTTGATTGAAAAAGTTCTGTGTTCAATTAATATAATTGTGTGAAGTTAAAGAAAAAAAGAAAGTTTGAGTAACTTGACAATTTTACACTTCCCTGCTATTGCTTTAAGTGATTTTTATCCTCTATGCACAATGTAGTACTGCTTTATTAAATACACTTGTATTTAATTGTTGTTGTTGTTTTATTTTTTCATATGAATGTGTGTCCATTTTGTTTACCTCATATTAGTTTGCAATAGCATTACAATTTATTGAATTATGCCAGTTTTGCACTTTTTTTCAAAGATTTGTTGTTATATTTATATTTTTCTTGTTTTATATTAATTGTTTGAAAGTTTTGTGTTTTTTACGCATATTTAGTAGAGTTTTTTGTTTGTAATGCATAGCTATGACCTTGTAATTTCAATTTGCTTATAATTTACAACTTAATTTTCTTTGTTTCCACTAGAGCCATGAGTAGAAAAAGTTTTAAACATCTTGTCATGAAGTGATGGATGGATCATCAATGAAATAAGGGGCCACTAGAGTAAAAATTAAGTGCTCTAGAAATAACTTTTTTAACAGACTTCACAAATTGTAACCAACCTTAGTATTTAACATCTTTTGATAGATTATTCACATAAAGTGTTCAACATCATTTGCAGACCAATGAAATTGCTCCAATAAAAATAACAAAAAATACTCTTTAATTGTTTAGACAGGCAAATTTTGTCACATGTTTAATAAGTCAAACACATAATTACTAATAGTTTGGATTGAAATACACATGTGTAAACATAATGTAGTAACCACGCCTTATATTGACCATGTGACATTGGTAAAATTCTATGCGAGAACATGGTCAACGATCCTTCGTACAAGTAATTACTACTTTTTGATGGGGGGTTGTTTGTTTATAATTTATTGGCTGGAAGCTTTCCAGCCGGATCAATTGAGGTTAAACACTAAGTAAGTCAGTTATAATTATGTGAAATTTAAACAATTAAGAACTTTGTGTTGTTAACCAATTTGACATTTATTGTGATAAGCAATTCGGGGTCATTGTGCCCTTCTTGTTTCTGTTGTTGATATTGTTGGTAATTGTTGTGTGTACATGAATAACCTATTTCTCACCTAATAAAAAACCCATCTCTTTCTTTCCAAACTTAAACCATGTAAGAATTATTTACATTTTTGTTGTGTAAGTTTTTTGCAAGGCTTAAAGTGAAAGTTGCGACTTGGTTTTGAGAATTACTGTTTCTTGCCTCTTTCATTAGTATATTACACACGTTAAAAGCTTTTTCCACCAATCATTGATAAGGAAAATCAGTTTATCTGTTGTTTTTTGCCTAAGTTTTCATATTGTTGTATTTTTATTTTCATACAATTGATCATTTGTATAGTTGTGTTAGAGTGAAAACATCTTCTATTATGGTCCATATATTTCTATCCCTGTTAAAGTTGTATTTATATTTTGTTTGATTATTATTATCTAATAGATCTAGATACAGTTTATTTGTTATTTTTGATTAATTGATAAGTTTATTTTTTATTTATTTTTAGATGTGTACGTAATTATATATTATTCCTTATATTGATTAAAAGTTCTGAATGCTCAGAGTGATAACGCTATACCTATGTCAGTAGTAAGAGCCCAGCCATATTGCACTGCTAGATACCGATAGCTGCTTAATTATAAGAATTGGATATTAGTGAAATCCCTTGCATTTATATATGGACTGTTTCTGATATAAGCTAAGTGTCCATTTTCTTAAAGTCATTGACATGTGGATGTTTAATGTAGCTGTTAAATCTTATGAAGTCACACCTTAAATTAAGTATCAACAAAGAATGGGCCATGCACTGTTTCCCCGCAGAATTATTTTGAGTGATTATTAACATCACAAACTATTCCCCTTCTGTTATCAAAGCAGGGAGGACAAGCCCCAAACTCCACTCCTCCCCCCCCCCCCATTGTCTTAAATACTACAAAAAAATGATGCTGTTTCTTAATGATAAACTCTCTTTATAGCAAATATTTACTCTCTTCTTACTGTAAAGGTACTCAACTAAAATGCTCTTTCCTTACACCATAATGTTACTCTTCATACCATAAATTTACTCACTTCACAACATGAAGATACTCATTTTCCTTTTAAACCAAAAAAAACTTTTCATTCATTCAGCGCTCTAGTTTTTGAATTATATTTTTTTCACTCCACTAATCAAATCTTTGACTTCATTTTTTCACACCCTTTAACCACTATTTTCTTCAAATCATAAATTTAATACCTTAGCACCATTAAATTACTCTTAAACAACTCTCCATTTATTTTCTATTCAATTTGGTTTATAACAAGATTCATTGACTATATACATAGAATTTTTTTATTTCAGTAGTGTAGCCTTTGTAAAATTGTAATCCTTGTAGTAACCCTTTTAATCTTGACAAAACCATTTTTCATTTTGAGGGAAAATTTCAAAGTACGTACTGACTAGCAAATATCACAGACCAATATCAGCCGTCCCTGGTGTGCTTGCCGATATTGGTCTGCACCTGTTAGGTCAGTGAAGTGTCCCATAGGTAGAATTTTTTCCCACCAGCAACATTTTTCACAGAATTAAGATTGTAATGATATCATAATAAACTTCATAGATAAATTCCTTAGGACGTTTATTAAGAACACATCATTATTTAGCGCACATTAGCAGATTTATCTTTACTTGCTGTTTCCCACTGTTAAGAAATATTATTATGTATGCACATTTTGTATTTGCTGGAATAGCTTTATCTATATCCACAGTTACAATGTTATTGTTGTTATTGCTAATTTGTATAAGGCAGATATTTTTTCAAATTCTTTTTAATTTAAAGCAACAAAGTTTTAAATTTTCTATCGTATGAAATAATCAAATATTTTTGTTTGTCATGAAAAAACATTCATCAGCATTAACTGTTGCCAAAATACTACAAAATACCCATTTAGTCATTCTTTCTAATTTTTCAGTGGTAAAAAATAGCTCAGAACTTCCTTTATGATTGAATATTACTAATAAGATACAACATTTACTCATTTCAATCATATTCTATGATTTTCGGATTTTGGTAGTAAAAATTTAAAATTCATAGATACTTAATGGCCTAATTATAGAGAGAAGGGAGATAAACATTATCAAAGTTTTGAAAAAAAAATCACATTGGCATTTATATAACTATACTAGTCATTTTATTGTATATTTTCCAAATTCCTAGCAAATCAATTGCACAACAATTTAAGGGGAAAACCAACAGAAAAGGAATTTTCCCATAACTTTATACATGTATTTCTTATTGATTTTCATACCAGTGCAAAATGTAATGTTATCATTAATCCTGCAGTCTTTCATAACATACCTGCAGTTTTGTAAACATATTCATCAAGAAGTTGTATCAATTTAGAGTAAGATTCATAACAGCTGTGCAGATTATTGCTTTGTATGTGTATTAAAACTAAAAATAAATATTAAAGTAGGCACACAATATATGATACTAAAGCAATGAGTTGTGTTGTTATTCTACTATTCTACCATAATCTTGTCTATATTTATTTTAAAAAACATACATGGCATGGCATAATGTCAGTGTAAAAGCTAAATTAAACAACATGCCATTATGCTGATGTTGTAAGTTTTGCTGGTTCTTTGATAATACAATGTAAATGATTAGAAATAATTTGGACAACTAGCATTTTGTAGAGTAAGATGATTATTTCTAACTACCATAAAATTGAAATTTATGATGGATGTTTGACGGCTGTCCCACAAAGCCATGGACAATTGTTGTAAGTCAAAAATATCAAATTAAATGATGTCGTGCTAGATTTTTGCAAGCTCACTCTGCAATGGCATGTTTAATATCAGTAAAGTTTTTTAAGCTTGTTTAGACTATTGTATTTAAGCACAGTGTCCAATGAACTTATTGGGACAGCCCTCATATTTGCAAATTATTGGCCAGTATTCACATTTTTGCTCTAGAGATGTGTAGAATAATTATCATTGAAAGTTTCTTTCTACAATTAGATGCTGTTTGATGACCCTCTGTTATTGGTTTTATTTCATATTTTAAATCATCCAATCAAAAGTGAAGAATGAGACTGGTTTTCCAATATCTGTTTTTGTTAAAAAATAGATCAAACATTCTGGAATTCAATGCATTTTGTAATAAATAGACTGCCCTACTTCACTCATTGTTAATGCTAAACTATAAGGAGCTTTATGAACTAGTAATAGACATGTTGAAATAAGTTATTTATAACAAATTGTTTTTTCTTTGTTGGTGTTCATTCTTTGGTGATATATTTAATTATGCATTTATTACTTTTTCAAATAAAAAAGTTTGCACAAAATATTGTTGTTGGTTTTCTATTAAAAATGTTTTCTTTTTATGCGACCAATCGAAAATCTAGATCAGGACAATTCCCTTTCAGTTTATTTTCAACAACCCGGGCAATTTCCCCTTTCACTGTGGACAAATCACCTTCCATTATTGCTGTATTGCGTTGCAAAGGTCAAGGGGTTGCCTTTAAGAGTTGAGGCTTCAGAATGAGAGGCAACTAAATGGGTTTGAATTACTGGTATCTATGCTTCTCTTAGCTTTAGCAGATTAGGTGGTTCTGACCTCAAGTTTGTAACACCCTAGGTTAGCTAAAATTATCATTCCTGTTTTGGCACCATTTAACCTAAGATGTGTTGGTGCACTGTAAAACTAAACAAAATATAAAGAATAACAAAACTTTTACATTAATGGATTAAAATATAATTCAGCACAAATGTTCAACATAATTAGGAGGAATGTTGCACATAAAATTCAGGTCCTTCTAGCCAAGGTCAAGATAATGTAGATAGAAATATGGGATTGAGTGAACTGCCTATTTAGTGAACATGATTTGTGGGATTCTATCACAAATGTTTACCATCATGAAAATGAGCATAACTTGCATAATTCAAGTTAATATATGTAAGGTGAAGGTCACATGAGAAAGTGAAGTATTTAGAGTTTATTTGCGGCATATCTTATATATCACTTCATACAAATGTTCACTATGATATCATTAGATGTATTGTCACTCCAATGAAGCAGGTCAAGGTAATACCTGGAGGTCAGAGGAAAACATGCTCACAGAATATGTGTAATGTGGTATATTCAGAACCCTAAGGGCTTAGTAGCTTTTGTAATTGGCATATTTTGTGAAAATGGCACCTTCGTTGTAGATTTGTATTTTCTTATCAACATTGGATACACAGGTTTTTGAATGAAGTCACTGACTTAAATAGGCCTTTTCAGTGATGTCATGTCAGAAGAGGCAAGGATTATAACTTCACCACAAATCTATTTTGCCAAAAACAGTCTCATTTTGATCATAAAATGGAAGTACAGTACTGTAATCTAAAAGTGACCATGACATAAGTCAGCACAAAAATCTTATACTGTCTTGATTACCGGTAGGTTAGAAATAAGCCTACATACAGAATATTGTACTGTCACAAACTAGAAATTTTGTAAGAAATTGAATAAACTATAGTTTTCCTATATAAGTCTAAATTAAGATACCCCAGAATTGATCCTAGGGGCATGATTCCAGATAGTTTGTAGAAGACCACGTCTAGGTGGTGGATGAAACATGCAAAATATCTATGCTCTTGGAATTGCAGTTGAAAGGAAATTACTTTTAAATGATTTATATTTTAAGATATTTTTAACTCTTGTGTAGTTTGTAGTTTCTGAGGAGAAAATTTTAAAACATTTAATATATTTAGTGTATATAAAGTTAGTAACTCCAAGAGTGGGACATGATTTATAAAGCTGTTATAGAGTAATACAAGGTGGTACTACATGCAAAATATCTATGCTCTGGGCATTGAAAATTTGAAGAAGAATTTCAAGACATGTTTACTATATAAGTCTATACTAAGTGGCCACAAGGTAAGGCCATTTTTGACTCCTTGAGTATGATTAATTTACGTAACTTTTGTAGAACCAAATACTAAATAATATAAATCTGGCCATTTTAGTTTGACAAAAGAAGTCTTGAAATGTTTTTCCCTAAATAATTTAATTCTAAATACATACATATTAAACTAAATGGCCCTGGAGCTGGACCTTTTTTGATTCTAGGGGTATGAGTTACAATAGTTTTGTAAAAGACCACAAGGGGAGTTTGAGATATTATTTTAAGAAGTTGTGAATACTGCTGATGACAATGAGGGACACAGTGCCATCAATGTACAATTTGTGTTAAGACATCTAAGAAGGAAGTTAGTCTTGTAAAATAAATATTGTAGGACATGCATTTTACTAAAAAACATTCAATATTCCAAAATAACAATATCCGTTTTATTTTTTTCAGTTGCAGAGATCTCATTAGAAATTGCTGAGACACATTAAGTAAGAAATGTGTTGATACAACTTGGATGCCTCCACATTCCACTGGTCTGTCAATCAACCAAGGGACATTGTAACAGACAAAGGCACATGTATATGCCCCCATTTCAAAGTAGCGGGGGCATTATAAGCTCAAATGAGTTTCATTCTGAAATGGAGGTTGCACAACACTCGAGTCAAATATCAAGTGATAAAATTTAATCGACACTTATTTTAGAGGTGTTCAACAAGACATTAAACTCAGCCTGACATTTTGGCTGCTACTAAAGACAAAACCTTATAATACTCGAGATAAGGTCTAGATTAAAACATTATCCATTTTAATTTGTGAAGAAACATTGTAACTAATTTAAAACCACATTCCAGTCCCCTTTCTGGAAATAAATAGCACAAGTGTCATACTAGTTCCCTTGATCCCCTTTAACAGTTGAATAACTATATAATTAGTCCAAACTTCCAGCAACCATTTTGTGTTTAAAATTAAAACTTTTTGTTTCACTTCTCTTACTCTTGAACAATACACTGCCAAGAGAGCCAACAATAAAATGGTTTTGTTTTTTATAATCATCAGGAATAAAATAGATCCAAACAGCATTTGCTAAAATATATTTTTTTATTTTATTCTCTTTTTAAAATACAAAAACAAAAATAGCAGAGATTTAAATCACAAAACCTTAACAATGGTATTATTACATGGGTAATTCATGAAGTATTTAAGAACAATATAGCATATCTGAATAAGCTTCAAATAGGAAACTATAAAATAAAATCAAGTCATGCAATATGTTATTAAACCCTGTAAAATAATGTAACTGGGTTAATAGATGATAGTAAAATATAGAATTAATTAATTATTTCACATAATCACATTACTTACATAAGAGATTGCAAAATTTGCATACTAAACTATTACTGGTATAGTGGTACCATGCATAAAACTGTTTACTAAGGAAACTTTCATGTCAATAGTGAGACCTAAAGAACTTGAAAGGTCAAGGACACTTATATGAAATAAATGGCATTATAAACCAGTCTTTATGTGAAGAATCTGCATTTTGGGTTTCATGAAAAATATTGTTTCCAAATCCTCATTTCCCTCCAGTTATATTGTTATACTTTCTTAGAATAAACAAAAGGAGCATTAATTTTACATTTGAGAAACAAGCCTGAAAGCATTTTAGTTGGTTTGTGCTTTACAATACACTGTTTCACGTTAATACATAGTATACAGCCTTGCCATTGTATTGAATGCATTCTGGAATTATAAATACTATATAAAAAGATAAAGCTCCCTTGTAACAAGTTGTCTGGTTTAAAATTGCACCAGAAACTAAAATTAAAATCGTATTTTCTTATTATTCCTATTTTTTTAAGAATAGAAAATTCACAAACACTATATTTTCTTAGCAAATATACAAATACATATATACATCATAAAAATACTTTATAAATAAAAAAATTCAATCAAGTTTATGGATTCTTTTTCACAAAATTAATTTACAACATGGAAAACAAGTTTAAGCAAAATGTTAATAAAAAACCTAAGAAGCGGTGACGCTGATAATTTAAGCTTAATTTTATAAAAGCTATAAAGAAATTAGAATTGTTTAATATTGATATTTCTTTTAATCTACCTGGAACATCCATGCCATATGATCATGGTCTGCACTATGGTACTTTGAAATTTTTCTTTAAAAAATAATGAATGGCAATGTAAAGATAGACAAGTAAATTTGAGATATTTAGCATGGTAAGGATGAATATTTTTCTCTGATGTTTAATTACCATATAATTATTGTATGCAAGTATCTTTATTTGACTAATTGTTATATTTTGGTGTATAAAGTTTGAACCTGCATTGCCATTAAATATTTTGTGTTTTATTTGTGAATCCAAACACAGTATTCAACACTGAAATATACGTACAGACCCTATTAATTTCAAAGGTCATATACATTTATTTCTTAACCAAATAACCAAAATTTAATGCTATATAAAATCAACAAATCAAGTGATAGTTATTGGGTTAATTTTGGGCTAAATGCTCATCCAGTGAAGTATTGAACTGTTTAATAAATCATAATACAGTTATAATTAAGAAATATTCAGACTGATCATATAATAGCACCAGATAAAAAAGAATAATAGAAAGAAGTTATTTTCTATATAAAAGAAGTTATTTTCTATATATCAATATATCAAATAAATCAATTGATTTTTTTTTACTAGCACAGACAATGAATATGGCAAAAATAGAAATTTAGAAAAGAATGGCTTTCTAAGTGGAATGACATGGTTATAAAACAGCAACACTCTTGGCGTAGAAAATTATAAATATCACCAAAAAAAATAACAGACATTGTTTCTAATTTAAAAAGATGTTCTCTATGACATGTATGCCATATGAAACTACTTTCAATAAATTGAATTAATGCTTATTAAAACTTAAAAATAAAAGGCATATCATGTTGTTGTTTTTCCTATCTCATTAAAACATTTTTTCTCAATGTTTTCAAATTACAATGTGAATAAAACTTCTCAAAAATCTGACCTTTTTATCCTTTAAAAGTGATTAGATTAGTTAAATTTAAGTATATTTTCTAAAATACATGTGTATGTATCACTACAAAGAATGTTGATTCTCTTGTAATCAAAATATGTTACTATAGTGATAAAAATAGATTTTTTTATTTCATATTTGTCATATTTTTGGTATAATATGCGTATAATCCTAAAACAGCATAAATCTATGTCAAGTTGTACTACATGATAAAATAGTTGGACCAAAGATTGTGAAAAAGGCAGTTAAAACACACTTATAGCTTAATTGTTAGTTATTGAAAGCAGGCCACAATTCAAACTCATACGTAGCTGCAGAATAATAAAGATTTACAATAGGAAGAAACTTCAACAATATTAACAAAAGATATGCAAATCTCAATGAATATGTTAATTAACAAATACATTTAAAAAAAGATAAATCTGTAAAATCAGATCTAGGAATGTCAAACCTGTCGCCCGGCAACAGAATAAAATATAGCAACCACCAAAATGAAAGCTACATGAAGAAAAATGATATGTACAAGTGAAAGTTTAACAGTTAAAGCTGCCAAACAAGGAATACTTCAGAAATATCACTTTTTTTCACAAAAATACAAATCCATCATCCATTATATCATGTTTCTTAACTCTATTTACAAAAAAACTTTCCAAATTTAAACAAAATATGCCAGTTTCACTACTATCATGGACAATGCATTATTAATTAATTACCAAGTAAGTCATTTACTTGATGGATATTTAAAAACTATCAATTGTAACAAAAATCGATCACCAGTAAAACTGAAGTTCAATATAGCTTTTGACACTAGTAAATCAGCTTAAAGGAAAATGGGGAAAAAATGTCTTAAAAGACCTTCATTGTATGCATTAAAGATTGTCCACAAAATCAATTGGTCAAACACATGGCTTATAAGGGACACATTTCTGAATATTAAATTTCAATTTAAATACATATATATATGTATATGTCACCACAGGGGTTTCAGATAAACATATTTCACTTATCCGTAACATAAAAATTTAAGAGTATGCATAAAAGGAATTATAATTCTCCATATACTTCTCAAAAATATTAAAAAGAAAAAAATTCAGGGGCATCTTAAAACATAACACTAGAGTATTCTATATTTCAATTTTGTACATTCAAAGATAAGGTGTTTTTTTAATTCAACAAAATTGCATAGTTAAATATGAGGCAAATAAAAATAAGCATAATTCCCTGAATGAATGATTCAAAAGAACACCAATCAGCCCCACTTGACTATAATTGGATGGAATGTTAAAAATAAATAGAGTAAGGCATAAAAAAACAAGTTTAAACAAGCTAAGACACTAAAACACATCCTGTTACAAAAACACATCCTGTTACAGCAAGAAAATCAGCCGGAATAAACATTTTTTAATGACAAAAATATGCTGCTTTATTATAGTCATTTAGTTTTATTCATTTAATTCAGTTTTGGTTTGATTGTGTAGGAAGCTAAAAGCTTAGTGACACACTCAAAAAGTCATTTGGTTAATTTTATATACATCAATGGCACACTTTAAAAATATTTGTAATTTTTTGTTTATATTCATCAAAATTTTATGAATTTTCAGATTCAACCCCATTAGGGAGCAGTCTCATGACATCATTCTGTCACCACAGTTAAACCCATCCTGCAAATCTGATCCAACTCTACAGTTTGTTGTTTAAAGTAAGAAATTCTATAGAACCCCCTTTACATAAACATGAACTTTTTTCATAACTCAAAGCTGCACAAATCTATTACAAATATTTAACATTGTCAGGACTAACATGTTATTATCCACTAAAAACTTTTTATTTAAGAAACCAAAGAACTCTCCAAACTGGCACTCTAAACCCACAAACAAGTTTGGGATATTATTAACTAACAAAAAAATCAAATCTAGTATACTTGTTAAATTAGCTAAGATAAATGAACACAGCTAGAACAACTGTAAAGTAAAATCAGTTCTAGCATTGGCAAGTGTCAGCTTCCGACATTGGTTTCACTTCCTGTTCCAATTTTTGTGTCTGGCCTTGTTGCGGCGCCATTGATGGTGGTGACTCCACTTGTAACTTGAAAATATCTGTTGATATAAAATTTTAGTATATTTTGAGAATATAAACAGAAAATAGATTTCAGAGATTTCAAAATGATAAACAGAGCTGGAATGTTTTCATTGACATGTTATTTAATGGCTTCATCACTAGATACCACTCACTGGTGAAATCATATCTAAATAAAAAATTTAGAAAAAAATTACAAAATCTATCAGCATATCTTTTATATTTCACTACAAGCTCTAAAAATATTTCAATGTCTCATGGGATAGTATTTAATAATTATGCAAAATATGAGAGGGACCCACATGGCTAAGTGGTTACGGTACATAACTGACATTCTCACTTGCCTTACACATCAGATTCTGTACATTTAAAGACTTCCAGGGAGTTTGGGTTCTTAATGGGAGGAAGAAATTGTAGCATGTTGGTTCTACTATAACCTAGACTAAATGTCTATAGAAAATTCCTATAACAAGCCAAGGTATGCAACAAAAAATCCCTTACTAGGCTACCCACAGAATAGAAATCAGGTCATAAATTGTGGAAATTTATACATTTACTCAACTGTTAATCAAAATTTTTATACTTGATTTGTTTTATATATTTGCTTTCTCATCTCAAGCAAAGCAGCTTGAAGACAAGATTAAGTAATCTATTGCAAAATCATTAAAATATGATAAATATATTATCATGTTTAAAAATATGAAATGTGTGTTAACTTCATAATTTCTTTTACAAGAAATACCTAAATCTCAGTTTCTTTAAAAAAAACTTGAGTAAATCTGATTCATTTAGAACAGTGAACAGGTCACATACATGTTAATATACATATAAATATTACTGATCTTTTTGAAAATTTAATACATGTATGTAGTTTGATATAAATCAATAATCTGTCTTTAGGGCAAACAACATAATGTATACAATTATTACATGATTTACCTCAAGAAAGGTAAATTTATCATTTATAACAAGTTTAACTTCAAAGCAAAATGTTCACATAATATTTCATGTTTTAAATAACCTAGCATAAATTAAGACATTAATTTATTGACAAAAGCTTCTCGAAATGTTTCATGAGAGTGAAAAAAAAGTGAATGGTTCATAAAACACACATTTTCTGTTCATTAAACTGTTCATATATAACAAATTCATGATGAAATTTCACAAAGTTTGAACAGCAAAGTGAATTTATGTGTCATATATTTCAACATAAAGATCTAGTCCTGAAATATGTTGTATACAAGTATGAAACCCAGGGTTCAATCCTCTATTAGCCATTTTAGCCACTTGCTAATGTTTCACTAATTTGGCTTAAAAAAAAATATAACTTGGCTATGGGATATCTTGTCTGGTTATGGAATTTTGATCAAACTTCACATTTAATTAGAAAATCACAAAAATTTGGCAAAAAGAAATTTCAACGAGGGTATAACATGTGATGGTCTTGATCAATCTAACTTAAACTACATGCAGTGAACATGTAATGATATGTTAAATATCTCTGTAGACAGACATGACAATACCAACATGCAAGAGATTCTATAAATCAGGCAACATGAATAATAGAACTTAAACCTGCATGCCCCCCAGATGCATCAAAATATTTCAAGAAAATCCAATTTGAGAAAAATGTTTTTCAGAAAAGTAAATAGATTCAATATTCAAGTTATTTAAGTTATAATTTACATGTTATGCACAGTTAATGACTGATTTAGCATTATTTATCATCATATTCCTACTGTGCGATTAAAGCAGTAAGGGTTGGGGTTTTTTGTGCATTTTTACCTCTTTTTGGCAATTTACGTGTTTATAATGTGTAAACTACAACCTTTGTTCACTTTGCAACATTTCATTTTTTAGTACCTTTTTAAAATTAAAGCAGCATGAAACTTTTCCTTTTTTTATTAATATTCAGAAAATATCAGGTCTTCTAAGTTTTTATTTCAAATTTTAAACAATTATGTTCAGGCATTGTTCTATGCATATTTTCTGCTATGAAGTGATAATTCCAAGGCTTTAACAGGGAAAAAATAACTATGGGACTTTAACTACTAAGTTCTGTACAAAACTGTACATACTCACCAACTAACAAATTATTAAATGCCTCTACCACATTGGTGTTATCTAATGCTGAAGTTTCGATGAATGAGTAGTTGTGTTTTTCTGAAAAATTAAAAATAATTTTTGAATGATATTTTTTTTCAACAACCCATCAAACAAGCACTACAAATATCATAAATAATATGTACTCTTCTTCATTCAGTTGTATAGTAAAATTCCAATCTGATTTCATTTCTTTAGCTATAGAAATTGACAACATGCTGTTGAATTTATTTTTATAATACCAAATCAAATTCAAAGAAAATGATTATGCTATATTGCAGCAAAAAATACCATAATTCATAAAGAATAAACATGTAATAGAAAATTTATTCAAAATCCATGAACCACACTTGGATTACATTTTCTAGAGCAAAAACGATAGTCTGATTCAATTATTCATGACTATGAATTTTACAGTCCATTTAACTATGTACAAAGTGAAAAAAATCTTGAATGAAATGTTAACATTAAACTACACTTGCTTTTTTTCCTGATATTTGTATATGAAAATAAAAGTCAAAATTTCAAATCAATTTCTCCACCAGAAACTGATTTTAAATACATGAATATAAATAAAGACAAAGGTAGATAAATACCTGCAAGTGATCTTCCCTCCTCCATACTGACTGCTCTCAGATGTTTTAGATCTACTTTATTACCTACAATCATTATACAGCAGTGGGGATCAGCATGCTCATTCAGTTCACCTAACCATTTGTCCAGATTCTCAAATGATGACATTTTACTGATGTCAAATACAACCAATGCTCCTACTGCACCTCTATAATACCTGTAATAAAAGGTGAATATTGTGAGAAATATTTGAAAAATTATATCATACTATCAAACATAAAATACACCTTTCTCAATGAATTATAAGATTTGTGTGAAAATGAAAGGTATGGGCATTTTAGAATTGTGTAAGAACCATAATTATATATTGTAGATAATACAGTAATTCTTTTTTCATTTTGACTGTGACAACATTAAAAACCATAATTATATCCAAAACTTTTAATATTTTTTCTTGTGAAGGCAGAAATCTGAATCTTTATCAACAATTTTTTGTTTGCCAAATTTTACAACATCAAACACCTTTAAAAAATAATCATGAGCTGTCCGCAAGACAGCGCTCTACTTTTCTCAGTGCTTGAGAAGGGGCAGATCTCTGGAACTCAGTGATATGATGTAAGATAATCACAAAGAACAAGTGTGTAAAGTTTTAACTCATTCCCTTCAGTAGGTTTGGTCATTTCAACTTGTGAACAAAAACTCAACTAAAGTGTGACAGTGTCGCTGATGGCGATACAAGTACAATATCTCTCCATATTCTACAAACAGTCCAGCTAACAAATCATAAAGTTAACTTATGTATTTTGAAAACAATCAAATTTCTGTGGAGTTTCAATAAATTCTCTTTCGTAGTTATGAAAATACCAGCTTGCACAAAAAAACTTAACCACAGGGATGCTGACAAATAGGTGACTGCAATAGCTTGAGTATTCTATTACTAGTCAAGCTATAAAAACTAGAAATGTTGTCCAGTAGACACACGGGTGCCCCCACCGCGCCACTGTTCTGTCAATCTTTTTACTAAAGTCGAAGGGGAAATTACTTCTAGCAAATAACTTGGATAAATCCACAAAGCAAAACCCCAGGTGGCAAATCTAAAATATGCTGAGACAACCTGCCCTACTAAGGTTAAATGACTATGTCAAATCCTTTTTGAGAAACTTGCGACACAAGTTGGAAAATTGCAAAACATTTTCTAACGTGAAGGGCAATAACTCTAAAAAATACTAAATAAAATCCAACGAAAAAACCTGGTGCATTATCAATATTCCCTGTAAAGTTACATGCCTCTAGGTTCAAATACTTTTTGAGTTACCTGCGACACATGTTGAAAATTGCAAAAAGCTATAAAAATATGAAATACTAAAACATATCCAGACGAAATACCCAGGTTTGCACCAAACTACACATGCTGATCAACATTCCTGTAAAGTTTTCATGACTCTAGGCTCAAATACTTTTTGAGTTACGTGCGACACAAGTTGAAAAATTGCAAAATTTTTACTAAGTCAGGGGCAATAACTCCTGAAAAATTAACTAATATATATCCAGATTCCAAAATAACCCAGCGTGCCACAAACTACACATGCTGATCACACCATTCCTGTTAAGTTTCATGACTCTAGGTCAAATACTTTTGAGTTACATGCGACAACCATAGTTAAAAATTGCAATATTTTACTAAGTTTCAAGGGCAATAATTCTGAAAATAATGAAAATTTTCCCAAACGAAAATTTACCCAGGTGCACAACCCAACATGCTGATCAACACTTCCTGTAAAGTTTCATGACTCTAGGTTCAAAGTACTTTTTGAGTTACATGCGACACAAGTTGAAAATTGCAAAAATTTGTATAACTAAAGTCAAGGGCAATAATTCTGAAAATACTTATAATATTTTCCCAATGAAAACTACCCAGGGTTTCCCACTACAACAATGCTGATGCAACATTCCATGTAAAGTTTCATTTACTTAAAGGGCAAAAAAACTTTTTGAGTTACATGCGACAAAGTTGAAAATTTTCAAAAATTTTAAAATAAGTCCAAAGGGGAATAACTTTTATAATTACTAAAAAAAATTTCCCAAAGAAAAATCCCAGGTGCACAACCTTCCCCATGCCCCCTCAAAAATTCCTGTAAATTTCATGACACTTTTTTGGGCAAATTTCTTTTTTTAGTTACGTGCGACACAAAATGAACGGGCGGGCGGAAGGACGGCGGAAAGGAAAAGGGGGGACGGACCCACAAGGGAAATCTTTAAAAGCCCCCCCACTAAAGTGGGGGCACAAAAAAAACAAGTGTAGAAAAGAGATACTTTTCACACTAGTGGGGTAGCCCTAAAATTTTCTCCTGGCCTGCCTTTTAAACCCAAAACCCGTGCTTTTTTGGTTTTTAAACCCCCTTTTAAACTGTAGTTTTATAAAATTTCAATAAAAATTCATATTAATTTTTTGATCATTGTTTGTTAGACAAATCTAAAAAAATTGAGTAAAATTGGGCAAACATTAGTAAAATTTAAAAAACAAAAAAAATTTTTTTTTTGATTTCTTTGTCAAATGTATAAAACTCAATAAGCAAAAAATTAATAAGCAATATTCTGAAAAAAATTCAAAAGACAAAAATTTTAAAAATCCTTTTTACAAAAAATTTCCTTTTTTTTGTAATTGAAAAAACCACTTTTTTTTCATTAAAATTTAAACAATTTTTATTATATACATAAATGAAAATTGAGAAAAATTTATGAAAATAAATTTGTATTTTCAATTTTTTTTTTATTTTTTAACACTGAAAAAAAATTTCCCTTTTTCACTGCCAGTGAAATATATATTTTCCCTTAAATTTTTTTGGTTCTTGCCAAAAGTACTTTTTTTTGAAAATTTAGCCCAAAAACACAACCTTTATGGGGAAACCTTTTAAATTTTAAAAAACAAAAACAAAATTATTAAGCAGAAAATTTAAAATTTCTTTTTTATTTAAAAATGGCATTTTTTTTTCATATTGTCCCTTGAAAAAAATTTATATTTAAATTGGGGGCTACCAAAAAAAAAATGAAAAAATTTTTTATCATACCAAATTGAAGAAAAAAATCCCCGTATTCTAGAAAAAAAATTTTAATTTGCCTTATGAAAGACAAAAATGAAACCCTTTTTTGAAAAATTTAAAATAAGCATTTATATAATTGTATAAATTAAAAAGTACCTGGGAGCAAATTCAAATCCCCCTTTGGGCTTTTCCCCTTCCCCTGTTAAATTCATTACGCGTAAAAACTTTATTAGGAAAAATTTGGGCTTGCCCCCCCCCCTGAATCTCCCTAACCCCCAAAATGAAAAAAGGGTAAAAAAGTACTTCCTAAAGGAAGTGGCATGAAAGGGTTTACAAAAAATGATTCAAAATTCTTCAAAAATTTTTTTCCAAAAATTTTGTGGTTAAAAAGGGACGGTCACTTTTTGAAAAAGCTATACCCTACCTAAAAACTTTAAAAAATTTAAAAAAAAATATCTTGTGTATTTTTTTATAAAGGATTTATTTTATTGAATTCTTAATAAAAAAAAAATTTTTTAATTTTAAATTTAATTTTTTGGTTAAAAAAAATTTCCCAGTTAAGTCATCATCCCCAAATTAAATTTGAAAAAAATTTACAAAGAATTTAATTGTAGGCTTTTGTTTTTGGGAAAAATCTAAAGGGGTTAAAACTTCAAAAAACCTAAATTTAAAAAATTTTGCGGGGAAAAAATTATATTTTTTATTTTTTTTAAACCTTTTTCCCCAAATAAAGTAAATACTGCCCCTGGGCCACCGCTGTTGCCATTTTTATTTTTTATGCTAGAAAACTTAAATAGGGTTTCCTTAAAGGAAATAAATTTACCTAAAAACCAAAAGTTAGGAATTTTTTTCCCAATAAACTAAAATAAATCTTACAATTTTTAAAAAATTTGAAAAAAGGTCAAACTCATAGTTGTTTAAATTTTTAATATCACATTGATAGAAAATGGTCGCCCCCACTTTAATGCAGTCCTGCGGGTAGATTCAGGTGGTCCTCGGGTTGGCATTTTTTCACCCCCTGACCTATTTTAAGAACCATCAATTTCTTCATATGCCCCCTGGAAGCCATCTTATATTGGGGAAACAAAAAAAAAAAAGGGTAAAGGTTAAAACATTCTTAAAAAAGAAACAATTCATTTTTGGCTAAAAGATGTTTTTCTTTTTAGGATAAAGTGTGGATTATTTTTTTGTTTCCTTAAAATTTTAAAATTGCCCAAAACCCTTTAAAGGGATGTAGCCCAAAAGGGCCCATCCCCGCCGAATGTGTTTGCTCTTTGGAAGAAGTATATGTAGTAAACAAAATTTAATTTCTTTTTTAAGGGGTTTTTTGGTAAAGAAAACTGATGGCTAAAGGGGTTTTACAAAATTTGAAACCTATGTAAAATTACTAAAGGGGTGAAAATAAAAAAGGGGAAATTTAACCCTGAAAAAAAAATGAAAGGGGGGGGTTTATCATTCTTGTGTCGGGCATTCCCCTCCTCAGTAAAAATCAAACCCAAACTTTGGGAAGTTTTCAAGTGATAACTCAAAAAATTTTAGAGAAAATTCCCGGACAAAAAGGGTCGGAGGGGAGGGAAGGTCGGAAGGGAACGGAGCAAATTTTCTATACCCCTCCGCCAAAAATTTTTCGGGGGGGGATAAAAAAAAATTAGCGCATACGGTTTGCTAGGGGAAATTTTATTACTTTTAACCACCCAATTAAAAATTTTTTTTTTCAAAAAATATTTTAACCCTTCCCTTTAAAATCTTCATGAGAAAGAAAAACCTTTGATTTTGAAAGCATTTTTGGGGTTTTTTTTGTCAAATAAAAAATGTACATTTAAAAACTTTAAAAAACTTTGTTGCTTTATAATTATCTTTTCCCCCCAAAAAAAAAATTTGCCCAAACTACAAGTGCAATAACAAAAAAAGGGAAGTTTGGGTAAAAAAAAATTTGGGCCTTATTTTTAATGAAAATGACGGGCTGCCTTTGCTTAAAAGTGCTTCATTCACAGTTTTTGGGGCTTTAAACCTTTTGTAAAAAAGGTCTTAATCCCATTTACCCGCAAATTTAAGTGTAATATGAAAAGGAATAGTTTGGAAAATGGAAAAAATGTCTCAGCAAAAAGGGAATTAAAAAATCCATAATTAAAAGATTTTAAATTTTAAAAAAAAATGCTTCAAATTGAAAATCGGGCATTTGGGGGCCCCATAATTTCTATTACTTATTTTAAGAAAAAAATTATTTTTTGTCCTTTGCAAAATTAATTTAAAAAAAAATTTGGGAATTTAGGACTTTTAAAACTAAAAAAATGATTGTTATTATCATACTGTGGCAAACCCGTTATTTTAACTGAAAGCAAATTTGGGTTTTTTTTAAACTGGGGGCAAATCTTTTATTGGCGAATTTTAAACTGTCAAAATTCTTTTTCGTTTTAAATTGGGGGGTTTTACTTCCCAAACAGTAAAACCCGTCGAAACATTTACTTACAAAACCCCTTTAAAAATTGGAAAATTCTCCTGATCCCTTTAATAAACGTAATATTTTATTGAAAATCCCTCTTTTGGGAAATGTTTCTATATACGGGTATTTTCCCCCTTTTAAAAAATAGTCCCCTTTAAAAATAAATTATGTAAAATGTTCCTTAAAACTCAAATAAAATTCGGGTTTTTTAAACAATTTGGACTGCCACTTTCCCTTTTTTGGGCTGTCAAATTCAAATAAGAAAAGGGTACTTGTACTAAATATAAAAAAAAATGAATTGATTACTTTTTCCCATATTTCCCCTTTTTAAAACCAAAAAATTAAAACCCCTTTTAATGAAACCAAACTAAAAAAGATATGACACCCAAAGTAGGTTTGTTTCCTGCGGGTTTAAAATTCACGGGAAACTTTTCTACGAAAATTTCTAGATCAAATTAAATATTGACAACAGCAATCCGGGTTAATTTCACTTTTTAAAGCCCCATGAATAAAAAAATAGTTTTCACTCATTAATTACGAAAAAATATTACACTATTCTAAATTTAAACCCCCAATTTTTTTTAATAGTGGTAAAACACTATGAGTACCTGAAATTTTTGGGACACCTGGGGGAATTATTTACCTTTTCACGGTGTGGCTAAAATCTTTATTTTGGGGAGCAACGGAGTAACTTGGGTTTTTTAAATTCCCCCTTTAAAATAAATGGGAAAAAAAACCAAAGACGGTCCCACCGGGGGGGGAAAAATTAAAGGGGATTTTCCCGAAAAAATTTAAAAACCGGGGTTAAAATTTTACGGACCGTTTTTCCAAACCCCTAGGTTTAACCGACTTTCGGGTTTATAAGTTTATTCCTTAAAAAAATTTTATCGAAACCCTTACATGTATCATCCGGAAAACCAAAGTTTTTGGGCACGTTTTTTTTATTCTAAATGATAGTCAAAAACGTTTTTCACATGTTTGTCAGTTGTTGCACGGAATTTGATTTTTGATTCAAAGTCTACTTGCCATTAAATTGCATCACGTTCCTTTTTGTTACCTCAGTACAAAAAGTTGAAAAGATTTGTACAGAGTGGTTTCGAATTATTCAAAAAAAGAAAGATTTATCTAGTAAGAAACTAGTAAAAACCCAAAAGGGACACTTGGGTTTTTGGGAGCTCAAAACGGCCCCCTTTTTTTTAAAATCCAATTTAAAAAAATTTGCATATTTGTCAATCCATCCAGCACAATGTATTTTGATCAATATTATCAAAAAACCCCTAATATTAAATTGCCCGTTTTTGAAACCAAAAATAAATTATTCAACAACTAAATAATAATAGCATTATTAAATTATAGTTTTTGAAAAATGAGTTTTTTTTCCAGAACGGCTATTATTAAGATTTTTTGATATATATGATCAAAGTACATGTCCTGGATTGACAAATATGCATTTATTTGGGGATTTTTTAAAGGGCCTTTTTGAGCTCCTAACCCCAAGTATCTGTGGTAAAAACATTAAATATGTGGAATTTATTCCCCTGTAATACATTTTAAAAAAAGGCCCCCGTTTTTGTATTTGCATAAATCTGAAAAAAGAAAGACAGTCTTTGGGGACAAATGCATTTTCCCGGGGCGAAAAAATGGGCCCCTAAAAATTCTGAAAACAAGCTGTAAACTTTTTAAAATTTAGTTTATTCTGGATTTCCATAACTTGAAATGTCGCTTTTTTTTGACATTGTGACATTTTAAGTTTTGGGGTCAACCCAAAAGGGCAAAGGAAAACCAAGAATTTGGAAAGTTTTGTACAGTACATAAAAACCTATTAAAATCAAAAAATTTTTTAATAAAAAATTTTGGTAAAAATGAAAATCCCCTTTTGATAAAACCAAATTCAATTTAAACCCAAAGTCAGGGGTTGTTGTTTTTTTTAATGAAATTTTTCAATGAAAAATTTTGAAACCCTAAAACTATTTTTTAAAGGGAAATTTAATAGAATTTTTTTCCCAAAAATATTGTTTTCCGCTTTAAAATGAAATTTTTGGGGACCCCCAAGTTTTGGGAATTCTAGCACTATTTTTAGTAATGGCCCCATACCCTTTTTTAGTATTGAAAAATTTTTTTAAAAAAATACAAAAAAAAATAATTCATGAAAACATCACAAAACAAATTTTTTTTTTTTTACTCTTTTTGTTTTTGAATAAATACAAACCAAATTTTTCATAATTGCAAAAACAAAAGTTTTCAATTAAAAATAGCATTTTTGGGTTAAAAGGGCATGAAAGGTAATCCGAAAACCCAAAATTTTGCAAATCAAAATGATTTATAAAGGGGAGCAGTGGCAGAAAAATTTTAAAAGAAAAATTTTAAAAAAGGGGAAAAATTTATAAAAAATTTTAGACATTTTTATCAATCTAAAAACCCTTTTTTTGTTTTAAAAATATTGATTTGGAAAAATACCCCAAAAATTTTTAACTACCTGTATTAAAAATAGGGTTTTTTGTCTAAGTAAAAAAATTGTTTTAAAATTAAAAGCAGGGGGGGGGGGATCATAAATATGTCACCGTTTTTGGTTTTTCTTTTTCCCAAAGGATTTGGGTTCAAAGGGAAAAAGGGCTAGCAGTACTAAATTTAAAACCCGTTTTACTGAAGTCTCTTTTTGGGTTAAAAAGTTTTGCAAACGCTTATTTTAGTTTTTTTAAACCCTTCCAATTTTTTATTTTCTTCATAGCAGGGGTACTTTACACCCTTTTCCCCAATTGGGTTTATAAAAAAAAAATCAATTTCAAAACACAAGCAATGCCCGGAAAAGCAAAATTGGTAAAAATGCTTTCAACAAAGTCCCTTTATTGAATTATTTAAAGGACAATAACCAAAAATTTAAATTTTCTAATTTAAAATTTTTTTTTCTTTTGCTGACTATAAAACCACTTTGTTGTAATTTAAGAAAAATGAATGATAGAGAAGAAATGTAGTTTTACTCTCCTACTTGGATGCATTTTATAATATGCCCATTTGAAAAACGGGTCGTAAAATAGGTCACACATAGGGGTCAAAGTTCAGATAAAAATACGAAAATGTGTATTCGGACCATTTAGTAATCATTCATTTAGGGATTGAAACACAAATGGTCATTATCATAACTGCTGGTGTAAAACATGTAATTAAGGTTAATATATGTAAGGTCAAGGTCACTAAAGATGACAGTCAAGGTCACTAAAGATGATAGTCAAGGTCACTAAAGATATCAGACAAAATATAGAGATTTTGTCCAGAGCATATCTCCTACATATATCATATATGGAGGGATTCTAATGAAACTTCATACAAATGTTCACCACTATGAGAAGCAGTGTCATGTGCATGAACCAGGTCTCTAGGTCAAAGGTCAAGGTCACGCTTAGAGGTCATTGAAAAACACTTGTTCAGAGCAAAACTTCTACATGCATATAGGGATTTCTATATAACTTGGCACATATGTTCACCATTGTGTGGCAGACTGATGCGTGCAAAATTTAGGTCCATGCGGCCAAGGTCAATGTCACTCATAGGGGTCAAAGTTCAGATGTAATTTATTATGAAAATGTGTATTCTGACCATTAAGTTATCATTTATTGAGGGATTGAAACAAAAATGGTCATTATTAACTGCTGGTGTGAAACATATAATTTAGGTTAATGTATGCAAGGTCAAGGTCACTAAAAATGATTAAATATAGAAATTTTATCCAGAGCATATCTCCCATGCATGGTGGGATTCTTATGAAACTTCATAGAAATGTTCACCACTATGAGAAGCAGTGTCAAGTGCATGAACCAGATCTCTAGGTTAAGGCCTAACTTAGAGGTCATAATTCAGGTCCCTACTACCAAAGTCAAGGTCACATAGAGAGGTCAAAGTTTGTAAATGCGGACCAATTAGTCATCTTTTATTGATGGATTGTAACACAAATGATAACTATCATGACTGCAAGTGTGACACATGTAATTTAGATTAATATTTGCAAGGTCAAGGTCTTTAGAGATGATAGAATATCCATATATTTTCGGATATTGCCCAGAGTGTATCTCATATGCATATCTATAATGCCCACCTCTCTGTCAAAAGCTTTTGAGACAGGTGTATTTTGCAACAATGTTGCCTTTGTTTTTATAGTTACCCCTTTGTAAATCTGTTCAACTGTCTGTCCGTACCAAGATTTTGTCCAGATCATGTCTCAGCAATCACTTTCTTGAATTTGCTCAGTTGCATTCACCAGTTCAGTAGATTTTTCATCATACTTTTCTCATTAAATGCCTATGTAATGTTAAATGATTTATGTTTCCACACTGTTTGAACTGTAACATCTTCTTTTGTACCTGTATATCTTTTGAATCAATTTAAAGGTCAAAATTTTATTTTCAATAATTATTTCTGCTATTATTTCCAAAATATTAAAGTAAAATTGCATTCAAATATTTGTTATACAGAACAAGTATCAAGTATTTTAAGTTCAAACCTATTTTGCCTTTTCTATTTATCCGCATTCTAAATGGACCAGTCATGATCTATTAACAGCTCCTTCCTTTATTAACAGGAGCTTCCTTCATGTGCCACTTGATTTGAAATCCATTCTTTCCAATGAAACCCTTGTTTGACGTGTTTGGCTGTTTGCTGTCACAGTTTTATATTTTGACAATGACCAGAATCATGATAACACAGCTCATATATTGCCATATAGCTTATAAAATTTGCAGTTTCTATTCCATTACTTTCTGTTTCAGTTAAACATTTAGTGCCTTGCAATTTATCGCTCACCTGTTTTGGAGAAACAGTTTAGCTATTATTGTGGGTTTGTGCAAAAACTTTAATATAACCCATTTTGCAAACATTTTGAAAGTTATCAACATGAAACTTAGATTACTTGCTTATCATAACAAGGTGCATGTGTTAGGCATAATTCTGAAAGCTGTATTTTTGGAGTTTGTGCCTCTTTTTAACTTAGAAATTTTGTCAAAATTGGTTGTATTTACATGAATGTAATAGAGGAATGTTAACAGCAATTGATTCTCTTGTTAACTAATATTAATTTTGCTTATATCTTAACATTTCAGGTTTAAAAGCTGACCTAGTAGAGAGATTGCACCAACACTATGCTGAGGTATGTTATCTTTGTTGTGTCTTTAGCTCTACTTTTATGTATAGGTTAAAGTTTATTAGTACATATTTGCAAAAATAAATTGGTCAGGCGCGACACAAGAAGCGCGCCAAAACTTTAATGAACATTTTCAATCTGTAAGTATCACATACAGAACTTAGATTACATTGCTTTCAAACAAGGCATTAGTTGTGCATATTTTAAAATTATTTGAGTTTATAAACCAGTCGATTTACTAGACTTTTTGTCAATTATTGTATTTACATGAATGTAGTAGAGGAATGTTAACAGCAATTGATTCTCTTGTTAACTAAAATTAATTTTGCTTATATCTTTATATTTCAGGTTTAAAAGCTGACCTAGTAGAGAGATTGCACCAACACTATGCTGAGGTATGTTATCTTTGTCCTTTTTTTAGCTCTACTTTTATATTTATGTAATTGGATTCATAAAAGAAAATAGTAATCCAGAGTTTGAATGATCTACTGAATGATTCATTAACCAAGATTTAAGGTACCCCATTTATGTTTCAAGCTAATGAACTTTTAAAACAAAATAGTAAGATTTTTATATAGTGAAATGTAGTCTGATATACAGTTCTGTTTTTCAAAAGACACATGTAAAATAATTAGGTACTTTTCTTAAATTTTGAACAAATAATTTAAGTGCCAAGTGTAATTGATGTCCCCTTATATCTGTAAACCTTCACTAGTAAGTGTTTAACATTCATTGAGGTGAGCAATACAAACTTTGAATAACTCTCTTGTACTTTTAAATGTAAGATAAAATCTGATGTAAAGATTGTACATTGAACAGCTTTTTAGTTAATGAATACAGGAAATCCAAGTTAAAATATTACTTTTCTTGCAACATATGAGTTTTTGTATTGATTTTAACAAGACAGCTGTTACTGAGGAAGTCTTTGTTACTTTCATTCTTTACATTTTAGATTTAATTGTACTTATATAGTACATTGTTTAGCATCTGTTTATAATTTGAAGGAAAAAAATATTTTAAAAAATAATCTATTAAATTAAGCTACTGGTCACCACTTTGATTTCACTTCAAGTTGTAGAAAACTATGGATAATCAAGGTATATATTTTAGCATTTTTGTGTATAAATATAAAGTAATTTTTAGGATTTATGATTTTGAATTTATGTATATTACATTTTTTTTAACATTCTTATTATAGCAAGAACCAGCAGACGAATACGAAGAGGAAGAAGGTATTATTTCATTGTTATTTCATATTGATTTAACCTTTCTCCTGCTTGAACTGAAAGTGGTCAGACTTTGTCACCAGTATAGAGCCAGGCAAGCCTGTACATACAGACAGTCTGATGAGGCTCTATACTGTTGGCTGAAAAACTTTAAACTTTCATTTTGATATTCCTGAAATTAATAATTCACAATTTTGGTAATTGGAAGTTGCTCAAGTGTATTTAATAAATTTAGCAGGTTAAGGGTAGAGCAACCAACATATTATTTTGTACATGGATATTTCATCAATATAAAGTGGAATGATTTCAAAGAAGACTTTCACTCTTCAACTTTATAACTATTAATCATTTCAGGTGAAGAGGAGAGTATGGATACAGGTGGACAATTTTCACCTCCACCCCAGGTGTCTCAAGGTCCACCTTCTGGACCTCCCTCATTAATGACTATACCAGTTCAGGAACCTCAACAGAAAGCTAAGGCACCACCACCGCCAGGTCCAGCTCATGTGACCAGAACCTCTCTTCAAATGAGGTTGCAGCAAATGGCAGGACAGTCTTCAGATGAAAATTCAAGTTCTCAGGGTCAGTCGCCCAGTCAGCCTTCAACACAACCTCCTCCTTTGATGGCTCAACAAGTTCCGCCTCCACAGATCAGCCAGCCTTCTACGCAGCCACCCCCTTTGATGTCCCAGCAGGTTCAGCCCCCTAAACCACAAATGAATCAACCTCCATCTTTAATGTCTCAACAAGTCCCTCCTCCCAATCCTCCACAAATGGGTCAGCCACCACAACTAATGCAGCAACAGCCTCCAGGTATGGGGCTACAGCAAGGTCAGCCACCACAAATGGGACAGCCTCCCCAACAGATGATGAGCCCGCCTCCACTTGGTCCTCCACCACAGATGAGCCAGCCTCCACCGCTAGGCCCTCCCCCTCAAAATATGGGTAAACCACCACAAATCGGACCGCCCCCTCATGCAATGGGAGGACCACCTCCACTTGCTCCACCAGGTACACAGATAGGACAACCTGTTCAGCCCCCACCTCCTGGTCAAATGCTACCACAAGTTGGCCAACCTCCTGGGCAAATGGGCCAGCCTCCACAACTTGTCCAATCATCTCAAATGGGTCAGCAACAACCATTGCAGGTATGACATTTAGTTTTATGTTTGAATAATGTTTTCATTAAGCTAGAATGATACCATTACATATAAAAATATTTCAGCTTGATGAGATACCTATATGTCTATAGATAAATAGGTCATACAAATACCTCTATGATATATTTCTATATCCTAAATTTATTTGATATGGTTATTTTGTCACTTATACGAGTAGTATGAACCCTGCCATACTCAGCATAAGGCAGGGACCGAGTGGTTAAGGTTCTGGACATGATTCAGTTTATTTCTATGAGTATAAACCCATGGTGTATTTTGGGTTCTTTCATATAATGAAGCTTTCCAGATAGCTTAGGGAACATTGACGTTTCTACTTGGGTCTTCCACTAGCAAATATGGAAATTTACCAAACATATTTTCAGTTTTTTGCTATCAGCGTGACTTTAAATACAACCAGTAAAAAATAATTTAAGACTAAAGAAAGTAGGAGAATAAGCCATATGTTGATAAGTTAATAATAAAATATGTAAAAACTTAAATTATAAAGAAATTGTAAAGGGAAGTATATTATTTAAAAGCTGTTCTGTTTTATTGTCAGGATATAGACCTTCAAGAGAAGATAGCCATGCAGACAAGGTTGATAGAACAAGAGAGGCAGCAAGAACAACATCGTCTCCGTGAGCAACAGGAACAGCAACGTATGAGGGAACAGCAACAGAAAGAACGATTAGCAATACAGAAACAAGCTATACTCTTACAACAACAGCATCAACCACAGCCACCAGCACCTGGTGCAGAGGAAGGAACAGATTTAATGGAGAAAGTTAGACAACAACAAATCATGTTAGAGCAACAGAAACAGAAAGAAAGAATGGAACAACAACAGCAGGTGACTTTTTATTCAATAATCATAATGATTATAGATTAATCCATGGTGTTATAACATTTTAGGTGAAATTAATCTAATATCTAAAATGTGAAAATGATCTATCACCTAAAATGTGAAATTGATCTAGTGCCTAAAATGTGAAATTGATCTACTGCCTAAAATATGAAATTGATCTAGTGCCTAAAATGTGAAATTGATCTAACACCTAAAATGTAAAATTGATTTATCTTATTTTAGGTGATAGATAAATTTCTTATTTTAGGTAATAGATATATATCAATTTCACATTATAGGTATACATCAATTCTACAATCTACAGGCTTCTAGCTAGCCTGTTTTGCATGTGCATGTGACATGCCTTAAGACATCAAGGTATAATGACATCATTGGTTGATTTCCTGGACATTCCTTAATTATCAAAGAAACACTCAATTTCTCAAGGAACGCACTCTATGAAACATAAAAAAACAGTAAACGCTTATAGTCTCCTCTAATTGTCAGTAGCATGGTATTGTAATGATTGCAATATCATTTGTCTGCAACCTTGGTAACTTCAACAATTAGATATATAAATGCTATAAATGAACTACAGATACCAAACTAAGAATAACATTACAGAAAGTGTATCATACTATTATTCAATAATTATTCCTGTAAATCAGAACTTAAGAATAAATGAAAATTAATAAAAGCTTAAAGTAAAAAGTCCACGATTTGCTAGTTAATGATAATGATTTTGTCATAATGAAGAAAAATACATGTACATTCAATTAATTGAGATTTTTTGTGTGTGTGTGTATAAAGCTGTAACAATTCCAGAAATTCAACATGACTCAGCAATAATGTTATGTGGAATGTAAACATTGTTGCAGATCAAATTTTCTGCAAATTTATACCCACTTTATCCATATTTGCAATGCTGATAGGGGAATTTAATATTGGTTACTACTCTGTAGAGAAATCCTGGATTTTGATTTTAATGCGTTATATGTGCAGGTTTAAGCATTAGAAGTTTTTGTTAACTTTAATAATAATGTTAAAATTTCAATATTCATTCTACATGAATGAAGTTTACAAAATTGCATTCATTTAATGATTTAAGAAGTATAATATAACAATACTATTCCATGTAAAATCATTGATATATTTATGGTATTTGACAAAAATAAATTCTATGATTAGGTCATTATGAAGTATTGTTACAAACTGACTTTTATAGTAAATAATGGTTATATTTCAGGCATTGTTGGAGCAACAGAATCAGGCAATAAAGAAACAGGAGGAGGAGCGACGTCGTAACGAGGCAGAGTTAATACGTCAACAACAAATAGCCCTGATGGAGGCAAAAAGAGAAGAGCAGCAGAAAAGAATAAGGGAAGAAAGACGAGGTATATTGTATTTAGTAATATAAATGTTCTACATGTGTTACAGTTTCCTTTGATGGTATTGTTAGCTTGTCTGTCTTGTCGCTATGACGGAGGCATTATCATCATTCGAAAACTAATTGTAGTCCATTATTCAAAGATTTTAAAAATTATCAACCTGAAACTTAGAATCCTTACTTATTAAGACAAGGTTCAGTTGAAACTTAGAATCCTTACTTATTAAGACAAGGTTCAGTTGTTAGACAAGGGGCATAATTCTAAAAGCAATATTTTTGTAACTTTGCACCTTTTTAACTTAGATTTTTTAATAAACAGACAAGTGTAAACACCACATGCAGTGCTCTTGTATTACCATGTATTTTGTTTAAAGGCATAGTATGCTTCAGAAACAAATAAAAAAAAATTAAAATTCTTTAGAAAGGGCAAAAATAGTTCAGTAACTGCATAATACTGGGACACCAGAAATAATTTTTTTGTGAAGTAAAAGCATACTGGAGCATAATATTCCTTTAACATTGATCAAATGATAGCCTCATGCCCCTAGAAATTCATAATTTTTCTATTTGCCTGCTGTTATTTTAGGTAAGTTAATTTAGCCGTTTCTCATTTTGAATGATGTTTTACCTGATGTTAATATAATGATAGTTTGAACCAATAATATCTGAAAAAAAATGAATTTTTGCAGGACCGCCCACAACAGGTGAAAATGAACAACAGCGCCCAGCTCCTATACCTGCAAATCAACCGTTCAATCCTAGACCATCTCTGCTTCATGGTCCAGGTCCAAGACCTTTGTTACCTACCAGTTCACCCAGTGGCATACCACCCCTGATGCCACCTAGGACATCAGCAAGGTAATTCTTTATTATTATCTCATTATCATTAATTTGCGAAAAGTGTGAAATAAGTTTGACACACTAGAATGTGTCATCACCAATAATTTAACGAAATAACTTCCTTTTGAAGGGGTAATGATTTTATTTTGAAGCAACTATTTTAGCAATGAGCATTGTCCATAAAATAGGTCTTATATTCAAGTTCACACCTACCTTCATAACTGTAAGTGCAACCTGTGACAACTGTGTGAGCAGAATCCATTCTTTTGCTCAGTAGTCATGAGAGTTTTTCCTTTGTTAGTAAACTTGTGGTCCCAAGTTCAAGTCCCAGCCAGGATGGGATTTTTCTCTGATGCATTTGAATTTTCTGTTACACATGCAAAAATGTTAATCAAAAAGGAAATAACTACTAGGGATGGCAACATATACAGATTTCAGTACTGGAGTACTCAATCATTCTTCTGATCATGTAATCAGTTGCTTTGAAGATTTCCTAGGACTTTAGAAGTGTATAACCATAAGCTATTTTCCAAAATAATAGCCCATTTCTATAAAATGTGTCACAAGAACAAAGATGGTAATTTATAATGATAAAACCATCTATGAATAACTTAAGTTTCGTATTGTTACCATTGTCACTAACTGAATGATTTTGTCAGGATTACATTTAAGGCTATTAGGCTATTAACTTAATTAATGAAAAAAAAGAGAGAAAAACACCAGAAGATAATCAAAATGCTCATGCAAAGTCATTCTTCTTTATTAAGATATTCTGATAAATATGTGTATAAAACAGGATAATACTGTGAAACAAATGAATTATCACCCATTTGTATAATACTATTGTTACTGTATATGTTAAGTTGTTTCATGTAAATTCCTCTTTCTAGAGAAATTTTCTTGTAGAATAAATGTTTAGTCGAATGTTTCGGTGGATTTTCATTGTTTGGCAGATTTAGTTTGAGCAATTTTATACTGTAAATTTGTCAGTCTGTGTCTTCAGGTTAGAGAAGATACTAAAATGAAGTGAGTGTCTGTTTTTACAGACTTTGTAGTGTTAATTCAAAAACAAAGAATGCCAGCCACTAAACATTCAAAAGTAATTTAAGCCAATGAGAATTCAAGCCAAATTAGCAACATAATTTGTTAACCAATCCTAGTCTATAGCTAAACATAGCACGGTCATGGCTCCTATATCATCAGAAAATGTAGATCTTTTAAGGATCTATTTAAGTGTTACAATATTTTTTAAGAAAATAATGATGAAAATTTATGGCACATTTCTATAAATAGACACTCCTTTTCCAAAAATGGCTAGAATGAGATAACCCTGAAGTCTTATTATCTTTATGTCTCAATAAAGAACATTTTGAATTTGTTGAATCTGTGGGCTGAGAAGACTCTTTTAGGAAGACATCTTAACGTTACTTCACTTAAGTTACCCTATAAGGATAAACTTGCTGAATCAGTCCCTCTTTCAAGATGTTCTGTGTTGAGGCATGGATATAATAGGACTTCTAGCTTATCTACTTCTAGCTTGTCTTATTCACACAGGTCAGTAAGTAAAAGAGATAGCAATTATAGGTCCTCCAGGGCTTCTAGCTCGGAGTTTTACCTGTCTAAACCAACAAAAGAGACAAGTGATAAGTCATCCTCAGTACCTTCTCGGTTATCTGTTACCTTCAGAAAGGATGGGGAGAGTAATGTCACAATGGGGAGGCAAATGACTTTTAGTCGTACTGAACACTGTAGATTGGGCAAAAGTTCAGCTTCTTCATCTTCGTCAATGTCTAAAACTCGGAAGAAACTAAAAACAGAGGATACTCTTCTCAGGAGAGCTACTAGTCATACTGACCACCATAGATTGGGCATTAGGCCTGCTACTGCTTCATCTTCTTCAATATCTAAATCTGGGAAGGAAAGAAAAACAGAGGATACTTCCCTCAGGAGAGCTACTGAAGAAAGAAGACATACAAAGAAGAGACCACATAGGCGGGAACATGCAAGATGCTGGGTACCAGGCTGTCTTGAACCAGCTAAATACATGAAGCTTCACGCCTTTAGATACCATATTCCTGAGATCTTCAATGAGAGGTTTCAACCTGATGAAGAGAGTGTACTGCGGGAAAGAAGGAGTGCCCTTAACCAAGTAACAAGATGGCTGCTTGGAAGACCAGCTTCCTTAGATGAATTGATGTCCTTTGTTAAGATTCAGAAGCTGTTTGTTACAGCAAATAGAACAGTTTTGTCACCAATTCAGACAGAGGCCATGCAAGCTTTCTGCAGGTTTCTTAAAGTATCTGCTCCAACTGAATTTCTTATAGACCCAATTAATTCACCTGGTGCTCTTATTCATTGGAAGGTGCTTCTTCTATTTGCTGCATGCCTTGATGCTGAGGAAAGACAGTGCTGGAAGAACTGTTTTCCTATTCCAGAGGGCATGGTGATTGAATTGCAGGAAGAGCAACCTGTAGAGTTATTGCCGGAAGCCTATGATAGCCATTTCCACCTTGACAGAACATTACAAGAACTCAATCTTCCATTCGGTAAATTAGAGGATATTTTTGCAAGGGTTCATGTAGATCATGCGGACAAGGTTAGATTGGTTGGTTCTGTAGCAGTATTCTGTGACCCACATACCTATCCTTCTGAGCAGAAACTTCTAGACATGCCAGAGGATATGAAAGTAGCTGTTGGTTTCCACCCAAAACATGCACATCAAGGTCATCGGGAGAGACAGAAATGTCTTGAACAGCTATTCAAGCTCTTACAACATCCTAAAGTAACAGCACTTGGGGAAATCGGCTTGGACCATAGAGAACCAATGAAGTTCTGGGCTTATCAGGTAGAATTACTGGAAGATATACTGCCTAAATTAGAGGATAGACATGTACTGGTTATTTATTGTCAAGGAATGGAGGGTGATTGTGGTACAGAAGCGTATTTATTGCTTCTATATTTTTTGAAGAAATACATAAGATCAGGTCACCCTATTCATCTCCATTGTTTCACAGGCGATCAGTATGTGCTTCAAAAATGGTTGGAAACATTTCCCAGGACATACTTTGGATTTACAAATCTGGTAGATTCATACACGTATGACCAAGTTGCAGCACTTAGGGAAATCGAAGAATCCCGCCTGCTTCTCGAGTCATGTGCACCATATTTTCCCAGCAGAGGAAACAGAGTATCATCACCCAGCCAACTTTACACGGTAGCCAAAACAGTGGCTGAACTATGCCAATCATCTACTGAAAGGATTCTGGAGGTCACAGTGGCCAATGCACTGTGTCTCTATGAAGGACAGTATTAGCAAGACTGCAGTCAAAAACTGGTAGGACTTCTAGTTCGCCAGTGTAAAGCTTTAAACTTTGGTAGGACTTCTAGTCCGCCAGTGTAAAGCTTTAAACTTTGGTAGGACTTCTAGTTTGCCAGTGTAAATCTTGAAACTTTGGTAGGACTTCTAGTTCGCCAGTGTAAATCTTGAAACTTTGGTAGGACTTCTAGTTTGCCAGTGTAAACTTTGGTAGGACTTCTAGTTCACCAGTGTATGTGAAACTTTGGTAGGACCAGTGTAAAGCTATTAAATTGTCACATAGTGAAACTTAGGTAGGACTTCTTATTCACTGTGTTAAACTGTTAAAATAAATTGAAGTGAGTGAGTGAATTGAGTGAAACTTTGGTTGGACTTCTAATTTGCAAATCCAAAGCTGTCAAAATGTCAAAGTTAAACTTTGGTACAGCTTCTAGGTGACCAGTGTAATGCTGTCAGATTGCCACAGTGGAACTTCAATAAGACTTTATAATTTATTCACAAGTGTAAAGTTGATAAATTATCTCAGTGGAACTTCGGTAGGACTTGTTATTCAGTGTAAAACTGTTAAATAAATTGTCAAAGTGAAACTTTGGTAGGACTTTAATTTGCCAGTGTAAAACTGTCAGATTGTCAAAGTGGAACTTTGGTAGGACTTCTAATTCATAAGTGTTAAGCTATTTAATTGGGAAAGTGAAACTTTGGTAGGACTTCATATTCACCAACCTAAAACTGTCAGAGCAAAACTTTGGACTTCTAGATTACGAGTTAAGCTTTCAGAAGCTATAGTAATATATCTATGTTGGGGAGTGAATATTGAGCCAGATTGCTTAAAGTATCCAATATGAGAAATAACCTCAAGACTCCAGTGTTTTAAAGAACAAGAATCAGTTTACTGATATCTGTCAGTGATGCATCCAGGGCAGCAGCGTTGATGATTCAAGTTCCGGCAGGCATCAAGCATCATCTTATGATTCTGAACAGCCTCTGTTGTTCCAGATAATTTTGGTCTCGGGAAGATACATCTGTAGTAAGCTTCTAAGTCCATGATAGCTGCCTTGTGACTTACAGTCATGATTATGTAAGTAAAAGGACTTTCAGTTGTAACAGTAGTCCTAAATCTGAGTGAGTTTCTCATTTAGATCTGTTCACAATAGTTCTTCCATCTCAGACAGAGGCCTTCTTTCATAAAGTTGGGAGGAGTGTTGTGAATGATGGAATATATTTAGTGTAACTAGATATGCCGGCACTATGTGTGCATTGTCCATTTGTTGTACATACATGTATCTGACTGTTTTAATTGTTACTATTCTTCTGTGACGTGTCTATTGAGTATTTACACTACATTATCAGGTTATATCACGATCTGGATGGGTTTGCATTTATACTGCACAAAGGTCTGAAGAATGTTTCAATGGTTCTTTAACCCATTGAGTACATACATGTGCATATATACTGTTTATTGTAGGATATTTAAATGATATACAGCTTTAAATATCTATAGGACAATAGAGGAGAACTCTAGCAAAGGAACAGGTAATATTGTAATACACTTTCAACTTGTTACATGCCTATCTATAGACATCCAGGCATACTTGTTACATGTACGCTTCATTTGCATGTGATGAATGTAGTTTGAACAGCTGAATCAGTCACTGTGGGTTCCAACAAAGTATTCTTATGACAAATTCAGGCAAATTAATTTTTACATATATTATAGAAATTTCAGAAATTTTAAATAGTTTCATGTCACTTTAAGTACATTTACAAAGGAAAAATTAAGTGAAACATTTTTTTTATTTTACTGAGTATACGAGTATCAGTGATATTAACCGATACTTGGGTGTTTGACTGAGAACTCAATTAATCAGTTACTTGTTGCCATCCCTGGGAATAACAAAACTTTTTTATATGCTATATTTAATACCTTCATGATGTTATTCCTTAAATTGAAGAATATTGTTTTGTTTAGGCTCATTGTCTGAAAATTAGGATCTTCAACAGGCTTTTAACGTTTTCTATTTTTTTATGTTTTAAAGCATGCACTTAAGATAATTTGTGATGATAAGTTTGTTTTTTCTATGGCTTAAATTTTATGTCTATTCTTGTAATGACACATTAAATATATATTGTTGTTTATTAACTTCCAGTATTCCTCCATTGATGCCTCCGTCCTCCAGCAGTGAACAGATACGACCTCCTAGACCACCTGAGGAAAGAATGGACAGAGCCCCTCAGGAGCCAAGGGAGCTGAAATTGCCCTCAGCTCTGGAGAAAGTCCTCGCATTTAAAGATGTGAGGGCCCAGGAAGTTGGTCTTACACCAGAGGAACTGGAACAGTTGAACATGCCTGAAAGTAAGTTTTAATGTTCTTGACAAATTATTTGGGTGGGGGAACGCATATCATTTATCAGAAGTCTTTTTGACCAATTTATAATACTGAACAATTGCTTTTTGTGAATAAAGTAAATATTTATGATTTTGCAGTGTCCATCTTCAAATACATGTATATAGATAATAAAAAGATCACTATTGTCCAATGAAAAGTAGTGTTACAAAACACAGTATAAATAGTAATATAACAATATCAATTACAGAGAAACCAGTAGAAGATGAAGATGATGATGAGATTGAGATGGTAGAAATGGAAGAGGAAGATGCTAATGATGATAATGATGAAGTTACAAGACCAGATCCTGCAAGAGAGGTACTTGTTTACAATTATTACTTAAACATTTATTAATCTGATTTGTGGAATGAGCTCTACTTGTTAGGAATTTGAAAACTTGCCAGTGTTGGTTATATAGGAGTGTCAGTATCATTATACACAGCCAGAAATAAAGAGTCTAGTCAGACTGTTCTGTAGTGTGGTCTGGTCAGATGTTATATTCATTGCCATTATCAGCCTTGGAATGGATTAAATTTTACATTTGAGTTAGAATGAAAATTTAACTGAGGTCTTTTATTAAATCGCTTACATATTCCTTTGTTTCCCTGTTTAGAACATATTTTTGACGATTAATTCTTTCTATTTAGTCAAAGAATAAGAAAAAGAAGAAGAAAAAGAAGAAGGCAAAACAAAACAGGAAACTAAAGCAAACAGAGAAACCCATAGAGCCTCAACAACAGGATGAACCCGATGTTCAAGTGGAGTAAGTCACTTACCTTTATATCAAACTACTGGTAGATGCTAAATCTGGTCTCACAGCTGTTTCCATCTTGTAACTGTCTTACCTTGCCTCTGCACAATTGAGTTGTTTCAAAAAAAGATCTTTGTAAAATTGTCAGTTATTATGAATTATTAAGATTATTGATGCATGTTAGTATAGTAGTATTTAAGGTCATTTTAAATGGTATTCTGAGGAAAAGGGAGGTAATAAATGATATGACCAATCAGAACATGATACTGGAGAAATATATCCGCTGGCATAATATATTCTGTAATATTTGTTATACCAAGGTGGTCATATTCTGTGAATTTTAAATCAGGTCTTTTTGTCTTCCGTGGGCTGATATTGCAGCAATAGATCTTGTACTATATTCCTAATAGAAAATAATCATATGAACGTAAAAGAGACCCGATGTTATATTTTTACTCAGTAATGTTTCATTGTTTTTACGGGTTTTATTTTAGGTATGTACAGGAGCAGCTTGACCTTGACCCCACAGATCCTAACTACTTTATCTTCAGTAAAATATTTGAAACTTTCAAGGTAAGCTTATAGAGATAATATATATGTTATGAAACAAAGTTGATTGATCTACAATGGGCTTATTTTATTTATTTGGGCAAGTATTCATGATTTTGCATACTTTAAATTATTGACCAGTTTAGTTAGAAATTTAAAATTCAGTTAAAATGTTTGTTTCACTGCACTGTTATATATACCTTATGTTTCATATAAACCTTTTGTGCATTGTGACCAATTATGCTTATTAGAATAAAGAAATAGTGCTAATTTGTTTTGTTGAACTTTGTTTAAGTAATTTTTTTCTCAAATGGGAGTGCTGCCATATAACTTTAATGTGTTGCCTATTAAAAATAGAGGTTCTAAAATGGACATGGTAAACAATTAATTTAATGCGTAATCTTTGAACGTTTGATTTTACTTTGCAGATAACAGATGAATCAGGTCGTGACCAGCCACAAGTGGTGGAAAGTCTACCCGAGAAAGCTAGTGAACCTAAAGCCAAGATGCATGACCCTGATAATGATGACAGTGATGAGGAAATGGTATGTAATCTTGCTTTTAACCAATTTTAATGGATTCTCTGAATGATGAGGAAATGGTATGAATCTTTGCTTACAGTATTACTAAAATTAGACAGTACTTTTATAATGTTCCAAGCATTGTTCTATGTACTGTACCCATTACAAATTTAAAAAAAACAAATTCCAAAATTATGGGAGGAGTATATCTAGGTATAAAACTGTTCAGTAATTGGCTAGAAAATGTGTAAATGGTGAGGTAGCTGGGTTGGTAAAGTTGCAAAACAGCATTTCATTGGTCAGTTTCATGCAATTGAATATATTCTTTTAATTGATTGTTTTTATCACAAAATTACCTTTTGTTCAGTATCTTTTAAGTAATACAGAGATACCTTGATTGATATTTACGGTTCTGTTAACTTGGCAACTATAAATGAATAGGAAACCATTAAAATTTTCATTAAATTGTATAGGATGATAAATTAGAAGATGACGGTCCAAAATTGTCAAAAAAGAAGTTAAAGAAGTTGACGCGTCTTAGTGTGGCCCAACTCAAGCAGCTTGTTACTCGGCCTGATGTTGTTGAGATGCACGATGTCACGGCGCAGGATCCAAGATTACTGGTGCACCTGAAAGCTACACGAAACACCGTGGCTGTACCAAGACATTGGTGTTTTAAGAGGAAGTATCTACAGGGGAAGAGAGGTATAGAAAAAGCTCCATTTGAACTACCAGATTATATCCAGGCTACTGGTATTACAGAAATGAGGGCAGCTCTAGCAGAAAAGGTATATACTCTTAAATCACATTATAAAAAGTATTTTTACACAATAAATGTGCATGTTAAGCTTGTCTGCCTTTCACTGGTCAAAGTGCTGGCAGGATTTTGTCAAAACTACACAGGATTGATCAGTATCAACCATAGTTTGCATATTGCCAGCGTGTTCTGCTTCTCTGTACAAAATGGCCACCAGATTTGAATATAGGAAAACAATGTCCAGTTTTCACAGGTCATAATGCTGGTGGGATTTTGACAAAACTTCACAAGAGTGATCAGTATCAACCCTTGCTGTGCATATCAATGACATGTTCCACTTTGCTTCACAAAATGGCCGTGAGAGTTGAAAAGGTAAAACTTTGTTCGGCTTTCACAGGTCATACTGGTGGTGGGATTTTGATAAAAATTTACAGGAATAATAAGTACCAACCTTAGTGTGCTGTGCATATTGCTGGCATGTTATGGCTTAAAAAGGAAGATGTTGATGGCACTTATTGTTTGTTTCTACCTAACATCTTTAGGAATAAGTCTAGTTATCTTATTCATTGTATATATAAGTATCTTTAAGATGTAAATATTTGCTTGTTATAATATTTTATAATATTATCATTATTATTGTCAATACATAGTTTATAATGTGTTACAATTATCATTATTTTAACAGGAGGACCAAAAGAATTTAAAATCCAAAATGAGAGAAAAAGTACGACCTAAGATGGGAAAGATAGATATAGATTATCAGAAACTTCATGATGCTTTCTTCCGATGGCAGACAAAACCTAAAATGACGATACATGGAGATTTATATTATGAGGTAGCAGCTACCTACTTATTACTATGTTAAACACTGTATAAAAGTTTCTTGCATCATATTTAATTTATCACATAAACTGCAACACAGGAGTGTCATAAAGCCATTTAATAAAAAAACCTTACGCTAGTGTAATAACACTTTAACGTCATCATCATTATATACAAACATAGGGTAAAAGTGTACTCATGTTAGTGACATACACTCATTCAATGTCCTCTATATATGAAATGCATCTTTTGTCTTGTTTTACGAGCTAAAGAGCCTAACTGGACTTGTACATTCTTTAATCTTGACAAAACTATTTGATTATTTATAGAGAAAATTTCAAATATAGACTGACTGAATAGCTAACAATGTAAATCATGATCAGCACTGGTGGCATGGGCAGAGTTAGTAACAATTAGTAAGCTAAGTGTAAACTCAATGAAACTAAAGCAGAAAATTATTTTAATTGTGATTTTTCGATAATCGTCTCTCAATGATATTAACTTATGGCCTTCACCAAAATTTAAAGTGACATCTTGCAGATGCTCTAAATCATTGTGTTGTCTTGTTAAACATTAACAAAGAAGTTAACAGACATAAGAATTTTACTCTGTTATAGCAATGGATTATATACGTAAAAACGTAAAATTATATAATTTTTTTCAGGGTAAGGAATTTGAAACAAGACTGAAGGAGAAGAAGCCTGGTAATTTATCTGATGATTTAAAAACAGCCCTGGGTATGCCAATAGGACCTGTAAGTATAACCCTATTGTCTCTCAACTTACAACAATACTTGCCTTTTATTGTTCTGAAATTTGATAAATAATCTTAGAGAATTGAAAGACTAAGCAATCAAGCTATGTGCACCTGAAATAATGAATCAGGGATCTCAATATGAAAAGCTTGATGAAAGTCTGGATATAACCTGATTGTTAATGCTATGTGTCTAAATCTGTAACTGTTTTGACAAATTTTGTGTTTAGTTTTAAGATTTGCATAGTAAAACATTTGCCTGTTACTAGCTCATCTGGCTGTCAAATTTATTAAGCTTTACTGGCATGCGAGCAGTTCCCGTTCAAAAATGTAGTTACTTAAAAAATATCTTTTATTACGCTCACTCACCAAAAAATTGAATGTTGCACATCAATATTTGGCTTGTCACACAAATTATGGAAATTACATTATGTTCTAAACATAGAATAACCCTTAGTTATGAGGCCTCAAATGGGGTACCAAAATTATCCATTATTTTGTATGAAGAGAAACAGTTTCCGTACATAAATAAAACCCATTATAATCATACAATATTGTCATGTCAGACCTATTTTTCATTTATAATTGTTGAAGAGACCATTTTCCCTGAGGTAGGTAGATATAATTCAGGATATAGAGCGTAGACTAAACACTGGTATCTTTTACCTGGTACCGTTACCCCAACGCATTCACATGCAATGGTGTGCTTGTATGCATGATGTTTTACTAATTAAAAGCCATAAAATCACTTGATACAGTATTATAGGTCAAAATTCTGATAATTAAACAGGTTTTTATCGCATTGCCTACTTATCTGTACACGGGTGGTTTAAGTGGAAAACCCTTTAACAGGCCTCACATGTAAGTATTTTTGTGCATGCGAGCAAGGACAGAATCCCCCAAATTAAACAAGGTCACGTTTTGACAACACACAGGTGAAAGTGATTTAAAATTTACTTTTTATATGTACTGCCGAACTGACACTTAAGATTGTGTCTCGTTTATGCATCTGCTTGATTTGATGTCAATTTGTGAAGAATGCCAGTAAAAATCAATCATTTAAACGAAAAATACAGGTACTGCTTATGTACGAGAACTGCTCGTATGCCAGTATATATAAACTCTTTAAGATCCTGTATGATGTAATTAAGGATGTAACAACTCTGAAGTGAAATTTTATATATGTATATAATTATTCTTCTAAAACAATTTCCAAACATCTAAGAATATGTTAAATATGTACTGCAAATGTTTATAAACATTATAAGTAATCATTAAAATATATGCATTATAAGTAATCACTAAAATATATGCATTCATTTCTTATTGAAAAATTTGGCTTAGACGTTATCGAAAAAAAAATTCAAATTACCTCCCTTTATTTACATGAAATGTAAATTCGGTAATATCTTTACAAATAATTCTTTTTGGAACTTACAATATTGACAAATCTTCATTTAAGTATCATATTTATGATATAAAACCAAAAGAAATGGAGTTACAGGATCTTTAAGTGATTCTGCAAAGATTGTTTATTGATTTTAAAAATGTGTAGAATAATTTCTTGTTTATAAATATTGAAAGATGAGCAGAAGAATTTCACTTTTTATTTCCTATCTGTTAATTGATTTGTATATATACATGTATGTAATTATTTCAGCAATCAGAAAAGGTGCCACCACCATGGTTAATTGCTATGCAGAGATATGGTCCACCCCCATCTTACCCTAATCTAAAAATTCCTGGTCTAACTGGACCTATACCTGAGGTAAAAACTTCATACATATACATGTAGTATAATTACAATCATATGTTTGTTTCAAGGTACATTTCTTAATTGGATATTTTGACTGTGTCAGGAAATGTTAAAGCGACAAATTTACAATCCTAATTTTTACAGTTCGTATTCTTTGAGCAGAAATTACTTTGTTATATTATAAATATCAATTTGTTTTTATACTGTAATAATAATTGTATCTGTTAAGCAGCATTTCAAGTTGTTAAGTACAGTTTGATTGAATATGAATTATTGTTGTTGTTGTATTTTCAGGGATGTTCATTTGGTTACCATGCTGGTGGGTGGGGTAAACCTCCTGTTGATGAAAATGGTAAACCTTTATATGGAGATGTATTTGGTACAAAAAGTTCAGATTTTGAGGTAAATTGATTTGTATGACCACTTAGTGCAAGTTTGCATTTGTAAAGTTTTAGCTAAATACTTTATCCCCAGCCATCTTTAATGTTCAGGTTGGTTCAGTTATGTAAATATACTTCCTTTGTCATAGTCTCATTGCAACTAATTTCTCATCTAACTTGGCTTCGATTGCTGGACTTGCAAAATTTCCTATAGGTTTGTAATGAGTATTGCTAGTATTTCTACTGACTTTCTTCGTACATTATTTCTTTCATATCTTAAAATTTGCAGTGTTTTTAAAAAAAAAATATTGTTCTCTTTTTCCCTTAATTTGGTATCATTTTACTGTAGATAATAGGATAGGAGAATTATAAATAGTGTTAATTACGATAAGCTATTTAGAAAAGCTAACACTATATATTGCCCTTTGTCTGTTATCTTGTGGTTAATTAACTAATATTAAATGTTTATATAGGCTGCAGTAAAAGATGATGATATAGATAGATCTAAGTGGGGAGAGCTCGAGTCAGAATCAGAATCGGAGGAGGAGTCTGAGGAAGAATCGGACGAGGAGACTCCTGAAGATAGCGGACTTATTACTCCAGCTGAAGGGTATAAACTTTACCATTTCTTGAAATAAATCGAAATAAGATTGTTCAGCTTTATCATGTTCCTTTTAATATTTCTTTGAAAAATATTTTTACCATCTGGCTAATTTCAATCCAAGGATATGACATATGCTTTATTGAGCTCCACTGAGGTCAAAACGGCTCAAAAGTAGATGAGGGAATGATCTGAAAATTTGCACACAAGTTATTGGTTCAGACCTACATCAAATGGTACACAAATTTTGGGAAAATACTTCTAGTCCTGTTAGGCCAAAAAACTTTAGTGGAGTTCCTTTAATGCTGATTTGCCAGCTGTGAAAAATATTTTGTGATGAAGAGTTAGCAGTTACTTGTGAATTGGTATTGGTAGATTAATCTGACGAAACAACTGTGTCTGTATTTAAATGGATATTGATTTCATGCTAATTCTTATACATCTATTTAGCCAGTTTGTAAAATGTTGGTATGATCACTCTTCAGTACTTTTAGTCCTCATTTTTTTGTCGCCTCTACGGAGTAGTGGCGACATATAGGGATCACTTCTCCATCGTCTGTCCGTCCGTCTGTCTATCTGTCCGTCCGTCCGTCACAAAACTTGTCCGGACTACTCCTCATAAACTACTGGTGCAATTTCATCCAAACTTTACAGGAATGATCAGCACCAAGTCTAGTTGTGCTCATTGTCAGCATTTTTCGGTTAAATAATTTTTGTCAGTTATGGCCCTTTAATAATTTTTAATTTTAAAGTTTGTCCGGACTACTTCTCTTATACCACTAATGCAATTTCAATGAAACTTTACAGGATTGATCTGTAGCTCAAGTCCTTGCGCATATTGCACGGGTTTTTTATTTGAATGATTTTTGGCTGAGTTATGGCCCTTTGATTAAAAGGTGTTTTTTTCTGTGTGTTGCCAGATACACAAAAGCTTGTCCGGACTACTCCTCATAAACTACTGGTGCAATTTTTTCCAAACTTTACAGGAATGATCAGTACCAAGTCTAGTTGTGCACTGTCCATCTGTCTGTCCGTCTGTCACAAAACTTGTCCCAACATGAAACTGGCCATCATGAGGCGACACATGTGATCACTGATCGCTCTTGTTATTTGTTTAGTTGTATTTGAAAACATTTTAACTTAAAGGGAGATCATTCAAAAAGGATTAGGTTTGCTGCTTTAATGTAGAGCATGTCTTTTCTCCCCTTTAGCATTTGCTTCCCTTTTAAAGTAGACTACAATATTGAGTTGTCCAGACTTGTTCACTAGTTTTATTTTGATGAAATTTTTGCAACATTGTATGAAAAAAATGATAATTGCAAACTAAGATTGGTTTAAGTTCAATTTAATTTTTATGATAATATAAATAAATGAGGTGATATGACCTTTTCTGTTTCCTTTCTTGCAGTCACATGTTTATACTTTTATTTAACAGACTTGTTACACCCAGTGGAATCACGTCAGTCCCTGTTGGCATGGAGACACCAGACATGATAGAATTGCGTAAAAAGCGTATTGAAGATTCTATGGATCAAGGTGGTGAAACACCTGCGCTGTACCAGGTCATCCCAGAAAAGAGGACAAATGTAGGCGCAGCTATGATGGGATCTGCCCACATCTATGATGTGGCTGGAGTAAGTTCTTTTCTCTAATCTTTTAGGTTGCACACATATTGCTTTACTTTTATATTTCTTTCAAAAACTGGTCTATACATATATATGTGAATAAGACGTTGGCAACTAATTTTTAACGATAATATTATGCTTCGTCAACAAAATATATCCGCTATGATGGGTGTTAACCTTTGCTTTAAAAAAATAGAAATCTTCTATATAGAGACACAATGGATGTAATACTGTTTATACCCCCAAAAACGAAGTTTGGGGGTGTATATAGGAGTCACCCGGTGGTCGGTCGGTTGGTCGGTCCAGACGTCCGTTGCATTTTCCTTGTCCGGAGCATAACTTGAAGACTAATGGTTGGAATTCAATATAACTACACACAATGGTCAAGCACATTGAGAGGATGTGCAGTGCACAAGAACCATAACTCTATCTTGACAAATTACAGAGTTATTGCCCTTTGTTACTTTTCCTTGTCTGGGGCATAACTTGAAAACTACTGTTTGGAATTCAAAACAACTTCATACAATTGTCAAACACAATAAGGGGAAGTGCAGAGCACAAGAACCATAACTCTATCTAAAGTAATTACAGAGTTATTGCCCTTTGTTACTTTTCCATTGCTTTCTTTTGTCCGGACCATAACTTGAAGACTAATTGTTGGAATTCATTATAACTTCATACAATGGTCAAGCACATTGAGAGGAAGTGCAGTGCACAAGAAACATAACTCCATCTTGACTTAGTACAGAGTTACTGCCCTTTGTTACTTTTCCTTGTCCAGAGCATGATTTGAAAACTACTGGTTGGAATTCAAAACAACTTCATACAATGGTCAAGCACAATAAGGGGAAGTGCAGTGCACAAGAATTATAACTCCATCTTGACTTATTACAGAGTTATTGCCCTTTGTTACTTTTCCATTGCTTTTTTGTCCGGAGCATAACTTGAAGACTAATGGTTGGAATTTAATATAACTTTATACAATGGTCAAGCACATTGAGAGGATGTGCAGTGCACAAGAACCATAACTCCATCTTGACTAATTACAGAGTTATTGCCCTTTGTTACTTTTCCTTGTCCAGAGCATAATTTGAAAACTACTTTTTGGAATTCAATACAACTTCATACAGTTGTCAAGGACATTAAAAGGAAGTGCAGTGCACAAGAGCCATAACTTCATTTTTACAAAATACAGAGTTACTGCCCTTTGATACTTTTCCTTGTCCGGAGCATAACTTAAAACATACTGGTTGGAATTCAAAACAACTTCATACAATGGTCAAGCACAATAAGTGCAGTGCACAACTATAACTCCATCTTCAGTATTTATAGAGTTATTGCCCTTTGTTCCTTTTCCTTGTCTTTTTGGACTTATTACAGAGTAATTCAATAAAACCTAATCAATGGCCAACCACATTGAAAGGAAATGCAACATACAAGAACCACAACTATCTCTAATTGCCCACAACCATAACTCTATATTTCAATTCTTTTACAAGGTATTCTGTTACTAGTAACATCCTCATTTCTGAAGCAGTCTTGTAGGGTATTAATCACATTTAGTGATAGTTCTAGTTAGTGTTTGAAATTATTTTATGTCCAATAGAATTGCAGTATTTCAAATGAATCATAACAAATTTTCTTTGGTAACACAACTAACTATTAATTAATCTAGGAAATCAACTGTTAATAAAAAATATTTCAAACACTCAATTGGTTAGTGTTCATAAGTAAGCATTTACGGAATTGAATTTATTGATTGACCAATTTAATTTTGTAACTGCTTGCTTATAAACAAAAACCTGTACTGGGATCCTACATATTACCAGACAAAATATGAGGTTTTTTCGCTGTAACTTTTATTTAAAATAATAAAAAAGAATGGAATTTTACCAAAATAATTTTGGGTTCTTAATACAAGTAAACATTACTTTAACAATCATGAAATTAAACATTTGACCGTAGAAATGTGTCTTTAAAGTAGGGCATTATAAGAGAGAAAAAATTGTGTAGACAGCTCAATTTTCCGGACATTGCGTTTCTATTGAATTGAAATTAATCTTTAAATAATCTGCAAAGAAACTACGACTATTTAAAGGCAAGGTAAAGATATTGGAAAAAAACCAGTATGTCAGTGAAACTAGACATGGCAGCCATGCTTGTTACAAAGAAGCCAATATATGGGGTGTAATTGAAATTAACACTATAAACTCAATTAACATATTGATTCTTCATGAATCTTAAACTTATGAAACATTTTGATATTCAAATGTAAAACCTATCTAAAATAACCCATTAAGGGCCACAATATTCTATCATGCGCAGAACAGATTATTCCCCCTGCATGACCAGGTCATGGAATAACTAGTAAACAAAAGGGTATGTTAGTTAATAAAGAACTGAATCAACAATATTTGCCTGAGAGTGGTTTTGTTGTTATTTACTTTGAAATAGAAAGTGTGTGTACGATTCAGACCGGATGATTTTTGAATCGGAACAAAAAAATAAAGCCTTATTTGACAGGGATAGATTTTGTCCGGTAAACTGATTGTCCGGTAAATATGAAGGACCCCAGTACATGTAAATTACTTGATCATATATATTGATCTATTTCATCAATGGTGTCTTATAACTGTTTAACTCTTTCTATGATAATCATGAACAATTTTTGCTTGTCATGATCAGTACATACATCATACAAATTCAGATTCATGATAAATGCTGAAAAAAGACATACTGTAGAAAATATGTTTAATTTAGTAAGTACTTCTAGTAAACTTCAGTTGATTTATAGCATTTATTGATACATGAAAACTAGTAAGCATAAAACAAATGTTTTACTTATAGCCAAAACAGCAATGATTATGATGCAAGTAAAGTGAGAAAATTACAGTTGTTAAAAAGTTGGAAAAATTCATCAAAGGAAATGAAATTAAAAATTGGGGTTTTTTTTAAAGAATTTCTGGTTTTATATAGTTTTATATGTGATAAAATTGTTATATACTTGATATATAAGTTGCAATATTCAAACTTAAGTTGGAAAAGGAAGCCATTGTGTGTAATTGTATGGAAATTTTAACAAATCTTGATGACTTGTTCATTACCCTCTTCCTTGAGGAAAACATTGTGTGATTATTTGTGAGTAGAGTGTATAGTCAGATCTGTTCATATTGAAGAGGCTTTACCATTTATGTAATAGATTTGCCTTAGTTTGATTTGCCTTGGTTTGACTTTGGAACGGTCCATTCAAAGTTTTTGGGATTTCAGTATTTCGAAATACAATATCTGTAATTTAGCTACCAAAAAAAATTGAGTCTGTGCATTTGTGCAAACTGGCCTGTCTCTATAATGTTGACAAAGGTTAGCAACTTTCCGTTTCTTGCAGGTTTAGTGAAAATAGTATTGATTTACCTTCATACGTGATATTTAACATTATATTGTGAACATTGTTTCGTTTAGCTGGTCATTATAATTTCCAGTAAATAATTCGGAAAAACCATTAAGGTTGAAACAGTGATACTTATAACATTGTTCTTAGTACAAGACTGTGGTAATATGACATGGAACAATTCATAAGTTTGCCATTTAATGATGTACTTGTCATATACTTGTACATTACAAAATGTTCACCAGATGCTATCAAGTACCAAGTATTAAATGATCAAGTTTGACACTTAATAATACACTTAAAACTTACTTGTGTCAAGGAGGAAATATATTTACAATTGCCTGAATTTCATCAATTGGAAAATAAAATAAAACGTAAAAATTAAAAAAAATTATTTAATTGATGAATAAACTGAATGTGAAACACTTTTTTAAGACGAAATACCAAAGGCTGCATGTATCGGGACGTAGGTTCAACATTAAATTCCTTTCAATACCAACCACAAATTAGAAAGCAAAAATGAACTTAATATCATTATTTGACTTTTAAGTAATTTGATAACTTATTACAAGGAAATTTTTCAGCAGTATACATATGTATAAGATACATTTTGTTTTATATACAGAAAAAGTTTCAAAGAGAAACAAAAAAATGACTTATAAGAGACAAAAATTAAAATGGCTAAAAGCAGGCTGTTTCAGATGACTTGTTTTTCCAAAATTAGCTATTGGAATCAAAATATCATATATATGAAAATGTTTTTCCAAAATTAGCTGTTAGAATCAAAATATCATATATATGTATATGAATATCAAAGAGTGTTATAATAATGGTCTTAGTTTAGTGTGGAAATCTCAAGATTGCTCATACTATTTGGTAACAAAATCAATTAATGATACTGGTAGTTTTTGACAGCTTTTAGAATATTATTATGTACCCAATTTTTTTTTCAGTGGAACATTTCCCAAGTAATGGCATGTTTGTGTATACTTCTGTCACACTAACAATATACCCTTCATATAGCATCTCTATTTATATACTGATATCTTTGATATTTGATCTGTCATTAGATTTCATTGACCTTAACACGGTTTCAAGCCAATTAAGTTACAGTCAAGTCTGTTCGTCTGTCTACATGAGGTTAACATAATACAGCAAGTTGGATTTATCATTCTACCTGTACCAATGGCTTTCATTTTTTCCAAGTCATTGCTCTTTTCATCACTTTGAAAATGGATATGGTTAACCTAAACCGGCAAGTTGGATATTTCTTTTTTTAGCAGGTTACAGGTTAACAAGGCAGTCTAAAGAACATAAAAGTACACATAAGTGCGTCTATGTGACATCTTATCTCTAGAATGTACTTAAGGAACTGAAAACCTTGATATTTTTCTATTTTTGTTCCTGATTTTCTATGACATTTTGATTATGATCTGTTATATTGAGGCAAAGTTACAGAAAGTTTAATAATTTACGTATCTTAAATTTCCTGACCAAGATAAGGGTAATATTTCCTTGATACTATTTTCTTTTGATGGAAATCTCATTTAAAATCTAAGAAGTTTGTATTTTTATCACTCAATAACACTATATACACTTGATATAAGGAACAAATTCTCTT